CCCCCCTCCCAAGCCAATATTAAGGGTGGGTGATGCTGCAATTCTTCTCATCATGAGAAGCCCTGCCATCCTTTTGAAGCCGAATACAATGAAGTCTTCTGTTTATTGTTTACTGCGTTTGGGATGCTGCAAAATTAGGCTGTGCACTTTGCCTCGGGCTCTGGCTAAGTACTCCCTCTGCCGCTGCATGTCGCCGGGCCTTCACTGCTTCAGTTGCATGCAAGGCGATGGTTTTCACTGCAGTCTGCTCAGGCGGCCGCTGAATTTCCCTGCTTTGCAAGACATTCATTGCCTGCTGCTAGCCGCTAGCTAACATGGACTCACTCGTGCCACCTCAAATTGACAGCGGCCTCAAACGACAGAAGTGGAGAGGGCAAGCAGTCCAACCAGACCTTTAGGCAGCACCTGGAAAGTAACAGGACGACAGCAGTGAAAATCCAAGACATGCGCTGTTGCTTGCCTTGGCTTCAAGTGTGCGGTGTGCGAGCTTGCTCTTATGTTTGAATGCCAACTTCTTGTCAAAGTTATGGCCGTCTGAGGTCGAGGCCAAAGAAGTGCTGGGTCCAAGTCACGAGGCAACGGATTGCCGTGATCGATGGTGTTCAACTGGCTAATTGCTTACTTCCAGACTTCTAAGCGGCTCCAAAGCACAGACAACAAGTAAGCAGCATGAGGGCCAAGCCAAAGGGAACAGTGCATCAGGATCCACTTCTTAGGGCACAGAATCAGCAAGTCAAGGCAAACAACGCTGCTACTACGCCTCTGCATCGTTCTCAGGCCTTTACCAAACAGCTTGCCAAACTCTTCGTCTGCAGCTTCTCTCTCAAGAGCCTACTGCAACTAAATGCATCTGCCGCGACCCTACAATGCACAATGTACATGCTCATCCACCTCACATAGGAAAATGACAGCTGGCGGCAGCTTTGGATACCAGCCTTGACAAGATAGTGGTCACAAGTGGAAAAGCAGGTTGCCAAGGTTTTCTGCCAGTTGGGCTTTATTGTTCACGACGTGTCACCATGTTACCATGCGAACACCGAAAAGTGAATCTATCGGTATGCAATTTCCAAAATGTTCAATCTCACCCTCGCCTACAATATAATGCATGTCTGCGTCAAGGGCAACGATACAATGCTGGGAGTCCTTGTATCTCTGCTCCAGTTGTTGCTATCTGCTATCTGTCAAAACCTGAACAGAAGATCGCTGCACGAAGTTGCAAAGCCCTGGCAGCATGGGTTGGCAAGAAAGTTGGCTCAGTTTTACGTGTGGTGACTGGATGCGTTCGCCTGGCCCGACATTCTCTAGGGTAGCTGAGTTGCCGACGTCCTGTGGTCTTGTCCGTGAAGTCAACACCGAAGGTGTTGCAAATGGCCCTGGACAGAACCGCAGAACACTTTGATTCACAAGGGATCTGTCCCTAGCAAATGCAATTCGTCGTGTCGAGGCTTCACTCTCCTTTTGCAGCTCGCGGTTCTCAAGAAGGCGTCGCTTTGAAGCGCTTGGCCTGCCAGGCAAAGCACACAGTTTTCTTGCCATTCTCGAAATGCCAGATGCTCCCGCCTTCTTCATCTGCTTCACTGTTTCCTGGTCCTTGCTGTTCCTCTTCCGAAAGTCTATAAGCTCCTCTCGCCGCTTCTCCCGTTGCTGGAAGCGATAGAAATCCGGCATCTCCTTTGACTTTTTCTTCTTCTTTCCAGTTAAGCTTGGCTGCTCAAGGGCTGCAGCACTCGATTCTCCGAATGCCCCTGTTTTCAGAGACGGGCGTCGAGCCCCGCGGATTGTTAAACCATCTGCAGTTCGCGTTATGCCAGACACAACTTTGGTGAAGCCATCATCGTCGACTTGTGTCTCCTTTGCAAGACGCTTCTTCTCCTCTTGGCGCTCATCGTACTGAGCCATCCAGTCATCAATCTCTTGTCTTAGCCGCGTAGGATCCTTACTCTTTGAAGCAGAAAGCATGTTCGGACTCACCATACATTTCTCACGCTCAAATTAGCAAAGCCTATACTGACAGACGGCAAGTTTCAGGATAAAATGACTTCCTCGATCGCAATTGCTCTTTGAGTATTGATGGTGGAGGCGGTAGAACAATATGTGCAGCTACAAGCCCCGTAGCAGCAGACAAGGCTTTTTGCATGTGCTGCACCTCAGGGCTGTTATACTCTGCGGTCCCCAAGAAATCGCGAGTTGTGCGTCCCGTCTGTGGCGCATTGCTCTTTTCGAACATGTTCAAACCAAACCAACGAAATATTCCCACTTTGCCTCCTTGAAGACAACCCGGGCAAAAACGATGTGAACCCGGACGTGGTCTGCCCGCTGCTCAGCCTGCAAGCATTGAAGAATTCCAACTACGCGGCAAAACGTTCATGGGCGTTTAACGGTTGCATTACAAGGTCTGTTTGAAGGCACGGCAACACGGCAATGGCTGCTGCCTTTGGGGCCCGCTTCTCCACGCACTTTAACTCGACATGCCTGGGCATTGACAGAATCACGAGAGGCAGCTTTCGGGCTGAGATCCTTTTTAACGAGCAAAGTGACTCCACAGGGCCAAAGGCGGAGAAGCACTGTCGTATCTGCGGCTCTGTTGTAAAAGCATCCAGATGCGTTGCGAACAGCGTTCTCGGAGCACTCTCCTCCAGGAAGCAAACTCCACGCTACTGACACTGCTCTTTGAATCGCAAGCAGCGTCCATACCCTGCACAGTGCAACTCCTTTTCCAAAGGATCTCGCGGATCATGGCGTTTGACTAGCAAGGTCCTGGAAGCCATGTGAGCTACGCTTCCAATATGTCCTACATAACCTAGAATGGAATGGACATGGGTTTCCTATTAGGGACGATATTTCGGACTATGCTAAACTACTAAGAGGGGTCCCCATGTCCACCCTCAATGGTCCCATGCTGAAGCTGATATTGACAGTAGCTCAATTTGGACAATGCGCAGCATGGCTCTCTTCTAGGTCAGCAGATTGCAGCCTTGCATCGCAAAGCACAGGCACAGCATGGCACGGCAGTCCTTGTTATCGGCGAACCCGGTGCTACGGGCACTCTGAGGAGCTTGTAGCCACGAACCAGCTCCAACGGGGCCGAAGCTGCCGCCGAACTGTTCTTCGGTGCCATGCGAGCTGAAGTTCACAGAGGTTGCACGGCTCTTTAGCTGCAGAGAGTGGGTAAAGAACGTGGCTTTTCTGGGTCCAGGCGCTCACAACTAAAGGCTGTCGTGCTGTACTTGCAGCAGGGCCAGGAAAGCAGTATGCTGAGAGGCAAGTGCGGTTCCGTCTTGGGAGTGTTGTCATGTAAGCTTTGAGTGCTTGATCTGTCCTTTGCATCTTACTGGCTACTGTAGCAGCTGCTGAAATGATCCCAGACCTGACTATGTGCCTCAGGATGAGTAACGCAATTGTGACATGATGAGTCATGATGCAGCCACAAGATGATCACGATTCGGGCTTCGCTGCCTGATCGGAACACCAAAGTTGACCGGTGGCTCATCGCCATTGCGAAGTGCATCTTGTCGCTGAATGACCTGTGAGTGTACACCAATGCTTGCCGGCTTGCGGGCTTGCGTTGTTAAATGCTTACAATACGAGACACCGCAAGTGCAGGTACCGTACAACAGTGCACTGGGCGCAAGCCGTACACTTGATCGCACAAGATAAGCCACGCGATAAGAATTCAATACTGCTTTGTCAACTTCATGACTTTCAACGCCCAACTAGAGCACCACACCCACCTCCAGCACCACCAGCACCAGCAGCAGCATCAGCAGCAGCACCAGCACCAGCACCAGCAGCTCGCCACCATCACACTTATAGCAAGAGAGGGTTTAGTGCTGCCATCCGCGTACTGACGTACTGTCATGAGAGACATTGATGTTGCGGTCTTGAGCGGCATAGCGCACATTGGTTCAGGTCTGCCTGCGGAAAACGGCGCCGAAGTTCTGCTTGAGAAGAGTCATCGTTTGGATACAGGTCCTGCCAAGAGAGCTTCAGCAGCGATTTGGTAAACCGATTGACACGGGCCACCATGTGCAAGCTCTATTACCTTGCCATGCACCAGTGTCCCACATATCAAAAATAGTCAAACTCTCCTCGCAGATTGTCTCAATGCTGTTGACAAACTGAATCTTGTCCCAGAATTGAGGTGTTAGCCAAGCCTCAGCATCTGAAAATGTTTGCCATCCTCGAGCCCTGAGTCGAGTGAGCATGCTCAAGACTTGGAAGCGAACATAGAACGACCACATCGTAACATGCGTCCTGTGCATGATCACTCCTAATCATGATTTCAAACCGTCCTTTCAGTACTGCTTTCAATTTTCAATTGGGCCAGTTTGACGAGCTTGTGGCATGCAAGACATAGAAGCCTCAGCTGGTCTCAGTGCTGCCATTACGCGCAGACCAGAAAACACTTTGGCCCTAAGACTTGGCGCTATCCTTGTGCCGAGCCATCGGCGCTTTAGATTCTTGGTGTATTTTCTAGGCCTCCGCTGACTTCAAAGATGCGCATGCGGAGCTACGCACAGAATGGACACGGAAGAGCCAGCAGACTGTTGGCCTGAGGGCCTAGCAAGATCTCAAATGCGATCTGGAGACGCTCTGCTAGCAAAGGCGCGGACCAATCCTGCACACTTGGAGTGATATCTTTGGGCTGTTTTCTGAAGCGGGTAAGGCTGGCACCATACCGAGGCAGCAGTAGACAAACACATATTTCTTCTGCATCGCCATCTCGTCCATGTGCCTGGCTTTAAGGATTTAACAAATGATACAAAAATCCCAAAAAATTGCTTTTGCAAGGCCAAGATTGCTTAGGGACCGAATGGGGCCAATTACCCACCCTGATAATTGGGCGGGGATGGTTCTGAGGTAGTCAGTGGCTTAATGAGGAATCTACAGGGATTGGGGATCTCCTTCATTTATTTGGAGAGGAATTTATGCCCAAGAGCCAAGCCCTCAGGCATAAATTAATCAATGAAGTTGGGATCTCATCTTAAGGGGTAGCGTTTTCATTTTGTATCTAAAAGAGCCCCTTCACTCTTTCAACTGACTGTCCCTCAACATGTGCATTGTTTCAAGCCAGGAGGTTTTTCAATTGGGGGGAGTGGGGCGCTTTCTTATTAGGGGAGGAAGTTAGGAGGCGACAGCAGTCCCTTTGAGTAGCCCGAGCGCACGGCAGCAGAAGAAAGTGGAACGCGCGATCGAGCTCGTCAGCATCATCAAGAATTGGCCTTCAGAAGGAGAACCCGTTCATGGTAAGCAGACTGGCAGATTCACTGACTCCGAGCAGGCCGGCCGCAAAAACCCTGGAGTGAAGAGAACAATTCTTTGGCCCTCCTCAGCAGCATCGCCCGTCACTCCAGGTTCCCTCCGCACAAAACAGAAGGCTGGCAAGCGCCCAACCGCAGACACTCCACAGTCAACAAGAAGTTGCGCATCCCACCTCAGGCAGCTTGCACTTTGCAGCACGTGATGACTGCAATTCCTGTACATAAGGCACGTGCTCCTCAGGAAAGCTGCCTGGCAGGGTCGAGGTGTGATTCCACTCGCACTACATCTCCGCGTACCTCTGAAAACTCATTCAACACGTGATCGCCATGCTACAAACTTCACCTTGCCCGTTCCGGGTGGCAGCATCTGCTGCGACATTCAGTGGATGGCGGAAGTCTTGCACCACTTCGGATCCTAAATTTGCTGCAATTCCCAGGGGTATGGGGCCTAGGGCCTCGGATTGTGCAAGGTGGTGTCCTCTATCCGAAGCTGTGAAACAGATTCTATTCGCAACATCAACAGGACCAAGTGGTGGGCAGTGAAGACGTCATCGAGAAATACAAGGCAAGCATAAGCATAAGGATTCCATGCTAGTTGGTCGGCTTGTGGTGCTCTGGCTCAGGCTGGGCAGATTGGGCGAGGGTTCAGTTATATCACATGCTGCTGCTGCTGCTGCTTCTGCAGCTCCTCAGTTGGAGAGTTGTCAAACTGCGTTACTTGTACTGACTTCCCACCATGTTTGTATAAGAGGCCAACTTGATGTCGCGTCACTGCAACGTGCCTGTCTTGGATGGATTCATGTCAATGTAATAAGGTGCTGCCAAGAAAGCTGGCAAGAGAAAGCTTCCTGTTGGTGATCCGTAGACGCAGCTGGTGCTTAACTTCGCAAGGGAGCAACCAGCTTTGGGGTCTTCCGCATCGACTACGTACAACTCCACAAGGTCGCGCTGACAAGCAATGTCCCGCCAGGTGGGCATGCAACCCCAAGCCGTTTACCGTCGTCAGTCTCATTCTACTCCACCTCCGCTCGCAACAAATCGAGCGGCCAAAGATAACTTGAGAGCCACGAGCTGGGACGAAAGCTCAATAATGGACAGGAGTGGCGAGACATGACGTGAAGAGACAGACTACATACAACCAGAAGAGCACGCAGCCCAGCCTTCACTGCCCATTAAAAGAACTGCAAGCCTCCTACCGAAAGCTTCCTAAAAAAACACCCTCCAATATCCCTCCAAGACCCCCCAAGATCCCCCAGATCCCCCCAAGATCCCCCCAAGACCCCCAAGAGGCCCCACAAGATCCCCCCAAGAATCTAGCCCAAAAAGGCTGCGAGCCAACACCGGAGAATCAAGCCTTGCAGGGCAGCTCAAAATAAACAGACCCCCCTCCACACCCTTGCCAGGATCCTAGGCTCACTTCGTGAGGTAATAAACGAAGCTCCCTCCGGGGAGCTTTCGTGACTATTCGGGGCTCAATAAAATCCACATGAGCGTTGGCTTTCAATTATTTATTTCCTCTATTACCTGGCCCTTGTGCGGCATTTTCAATCCACGGCCCCTCATCTGGTTTGCCTTATCTTTACTCTGTATGGTACGTTGACAAACTCATTTGATCTCGTTCGCATGTTGGAATACGTACTGGGCTGCAAGGGGTGGCCATATCTCGTTCAATCCACAGCCCCTATCTAGCTCCCAGAGTAACGCTGATGCAAAAAAGCCAACGCGCCTAGTCTTCTACTCTGTTACGTACATAAATGCGCCTGCTGACATGATTTCCACAAACCCTAGCAAACATGCACTGTAGGAAACCCAAAATTCCTTTACCTAGCAAGTGCGGCGCGATTGTGCAAAAACGATAGGTATTAGCAAAAAACACTTGTATTTGAGACCCCCAAGAAACAGTTAAGACACAGCTAGAACCCAGGTAATTCAAGGGCTTTTGCACGTAAAAACCGAACAATGAACCAACCCATCGGGCAGCAGTGGTAGTGGCAGCAGCAGCAGCAGTGGTGGCAGCAGCCCTCATAACGATACTTGTAATAGCAGTAGCAATAGTTCTGTAACAAACGTGACAGACAAAAAAGAAGCGAGGACGATGCATACCACAGACACAGTCAGTGGCAGAGACAGGTTGAAAAGCTGAGGCTCAATTGAGAACGACATCTGTGACCAAGGAAAGATGCGCACCCCGCCCTCTCAAACAAAAAACCACCTCCACACCAAGCCACCGCAGTGGCCACTCAGGGTGGATGGGAGGGGCAACAATCATCTTGGTCTGCAGCTGCTTTGGGGCCAGAGCTGCAGGTCAATCGACCAACCTACATAGAGGTGCTGGTAGCAACAGTAGTAGCAGTAGTAGTACTTACAGCAACAGCAGCAGGAGGCGGATGGTTTGTGGGTTTGGTCATTTGTGCGTTCACATGGTATTGGAACCGTTGGAACCTTCCAGCTGACCTGGCCTGAGCCCAGTGGCCAAAACACGCCCGGTTAGTCCGAAGGTTTGAGGAATGTGCTTTCATTGATGCTCACTCCATCAGTCCAGGGTTGGCACGTCCAAGACACGCCTCTTTGGTGGAAGGTTTTTGAGGATTCAGGCGCCCCATTGATAATCCAAGGTTGGCCCAATAGTGTGAGACCCCCCCCCCACTACTCCAAGGGATATAGAGGGATACTCAGGCTCACGACATTAATCCAAGACTGGGCCAGTCGTGCCAGACACGCCGCATTGGCCTAAGGTTTGATCAATGAATGTTCTCTTTGTTCAGGCAGGTCGCTATCAGTCCAGGGTCGGCCCAAGAGTCCAAGGCACGCATGGCAATAACAGAGCAAGAGCAATTTCAGAAGGCGTTGCCATACCAATGCTAGCATAAAATCTCATGCTGTAGGGGTTTGCAGCCTTTGTGATCCACCCTCGTGTTTCTTAGTGTGATTTTCATGAGGTTCTACAAGGCTTCGGGGACCATACTTGCTCTTTTCATTGGGACTACTGGCCCTTAGGATCATGTTTGAGGTTTTGGTCTGACAAGATAGCTCTGGGACCATACATGTTGTATTCTTAGGGCTGCTCAAGGCCTTGAGAACCAGACTGATCTGTTTATGTTATTGGTTATTTCAAGGCACAAGCAAGCGTCTCCCTTCTCGATTTTAGACTTACACGATCCTTCCTTTAAACAAATGGAAGGATTTTGAGCCCATCCTTGTGAACTTCTTAAGCCGCGTTACCAAACTCTGCGCAACAATGCGAACCTGCAAGGAGCCAGGATGACACATTTGATTTGCATCCTTGCAATGTGATGCAAGGCAGGAGGCGGATGAGGCGGCAGGGTGCCTCTTGCAGCTCCGTGGCCGATGCAGCGCTGGGCTTCTTCGATGATGCGGCGATACGGCTCGGAGACCTCCTTGAACGCGAGGAACCAGAACCCCCCGAATGCGGCGCCGTGGAGCAGCTGCTCTGAGGTAACGGCAACGTCATCCCTGGCATTGCCATGATCAGTGGGGCAAATGCGCGTGCAGATGCCAAGTATCCTTTGGGCAAACAAGACATCAAGACTGCCCAGCGTCCCACTTGACCTGCTCCAAGTCTGCCTGGGACGCAGCTTGCACAGTTTAGCAGTTTAACATCCCAGCTCGCCCCGCTGCTCAAGAGACAGCTTGCGCCTCAGAAATGATGCTCGTCCTCAACAACTGGGACAGCAAAGTAAATTCATGGACGGCTGAGAGTCAAGTGCACGGGTGTTGGGGCAAATGTGCTGGCTGTCCAACTTTTCAATGCAGCTGTCAACTATATCTAGATCGCACCACTGTCGCGGTACAGAACCAGCAATCACGCTAATTAGATATCTGCAACCTACCTGTCTGCACTTGCGCAAGCTCGCTACATTAAGACTTTGTCTCCACAAGCAGAGCCCGACTTCGGTCAGGAGGTATGGTATAGTGGACCCCGGCTTCCTCCAGCCCAGCACTGCATGAGACCGCCCGAAAAAGGGCTTGCGATAATGCAGGATTGGCAGTGCCTCATGGCATGTTGTTCGGACACTTGCACATCATGTCCTCCTCTCCAACCGGATGCTTTGTCGCACCTTGTCAGGCAACTATAAGGCTACAGACTACAGCAAGACATCCAATCTGCAATCGCGCCACACAAAAAGGTTTCACCAACTGAGTTCTGAACGCGCCCATTCTCTTTAGTCATGCTTCGCTCCGGACCCCTATTTCGGATGGGTTTCGGCCGCAAACCTAGGCAACCAAAAGGACTGAGCTGATAGGCACATGTGGTATGCCTGTTGCATATAGCAGATATTCATGGAAACCTAGAACGTTCAGAGCCGGACTCCAGCAAAACCTGAAATGCAGTCCCGACAGGTTGGAAAGTCAGCCCACGCACGCTCATTTTGCCGGATGTCTTGACATGGCTTGGTCTTTGCAACGTTCTTTTCTGTGGTAAAGCTTCGCTGCGTCAATGCGTAGCTGAGTTTGGGCCTGTCACAGAGCTCCTCGTGCTCATCACTCAGCACGGTGTGGGTTGGCCGAAAATCTTTGAGTCTGCGAGATGCGGGAGTTCATGCATGAAGCGTTTCACGAGTCAGCCGGCGAGCACAGGTACGGGGCCCAGGTCCTTTGGTCGTTAACAATCGCCAAAAAATCCTAGTCAAAAAGGTCGAGGTGTTCCTGCAGATTTGAGATGGAGGTCTTCAAGAGGTAGTTTGCTACGCCAAATAATGCAGGCTCTACGTGCTCGTACGCAGCGTCTTAGAGCCTGGCATTGATCAAGAGGCTCTGAAAGCCGGACTGAGACCATCGGAAACAGTTGCTGAACCTATTCGGTTCATGATGAAATACCACCTCAAGTGTGCCATTTGGCACGCATGTGTCCTGCCTTGTGATGTCGGTGTCTGCGTTTGTGCAGCTTGTGCTCCAAATGCTGTCAAGGGGCGTGCCATATCTTGCGGCTTCATGTTGATGCATGAATCCAATTTCATTCAGTGCCGGGCTTGATCCATTCGAGCAGAGATTAGATCATATATTGGCATGACAAATGAATAGCTGTATTTCAAACCCAATTTACAGTTGGAAGCCGATTCCTGCAGCATGCTCTGATGGTTTGCCATTTTTCAGATACGCAGCTCTGCCAGTCCAGAGAGACAGCACGAGACCAATCACGCTTGGACTTGCGACCAAGTAGTGGACCTCATGCTGTGTCTGCAGTCCTGCTTTTGGAAGCTGCTCACTCCCAGGCAAACTTGCCGTTTTCCTCCTTCCGGGAACTCTCCAACGAATGGAAAAAAGCGACTCGCACCATTGCCCCTACATCAGTTGGCAGCTGGACTGTTTTCTGTGCAGGCTCAAGGCAGCTTGGAGTAGATCGGCTCAGAAAAGCCATCAGACCTACATCAAAAGAGCTGTGGCAACAGGTACAACTAGAATCTTCCTGCAAACAATATCTTTGCGAGGCCTCTTCTGTAGCATGCTGAAAGAATTCTGAAACTTCTTGTGCGGCCTGATCGCGAGACGCAGGAACTTCCAGCTTCCTCGAAAAAACCTTGCCAGCCGTGGCACTCCAGCAGACTCAGAAAGTCTCCCTGTGAGTGCGTCGCCTCAGCCAGCTTTTGAGGTTTTCAGGCTCTGCGAGGCTTTGCCTGTTGTTTGGCCCTCAGGGTCGCACGTCAACCCACTCTCGCACTGCACTGTTCGTCAAAGTGCTGTGGAGCCTTAGGTCGGGCTCAACATTGCAAAGCCTTTCATCCTGAAGAATTCACACGGGAAGCGACAAAGGTGAATCATGCATGATGCTGCTCTGTGACTTCTTGTAAGACTACCTGCTTAGCGCAGGATACCTCGCCTGGCAACTTACAGCTGACATCAGCGAAGCGAACAATGAGCTCATCATGACTGTCTACTTGAGAAAAGAAGTCATCGTGTTTGAGTCTCTTGGGCTGTGATGTTTTTAGCTTCTGCAACGAGACTTGGTGTTCTCCAACCTGTCTTCAAGTCCGACCCAAGTGGCAGAACAAGGCCTCCCGGTGCAATCTGAGGCCAAAGTAGCGCCAGGAATTTCTCTATTCCATCCTTGCAATGCTGCAATGTTTCGGCAGACTGTAAAACAGCATGACTGTCCCTATCCCTCCTGCGCTGGCCCCCCAACATGCCTTGGCACTTCCATTCACAGGTGGTGCGAAGTCAAGCAAGCCGTCCTGCAGCGGCAAGACATCCCGCAATCAGACATGTGACATTAATGCCCGGTTGTCAAAGGCATGGCCCGGGTCCAGCCAGACAAAGTCAAACAGGTGCTGCGACTCTTCCAGGAAAGCCCTAGCATCATCAAGATGGAGCCTTGCATGTGAAATCTCGTGCTCGGCATTAGACGATCAGATTCTCAAGATTCATCTTTGCGGCTGCGCTGAGTGACACGCGCAGTATGGCGCTCTTTTTCTTGCTGGGCACCGCCAGTTTCTTATGAGACTGAAGTGGATCATCCCTGCCCAAGACCACATCCAAGAGCTGCTGGTGGCGGCTCACACATCGACCTGTAGAAATCCGGCGCCTCATGAAACTCATTCTGTCCTCATAGCCATGGAATGCCCTTACCAGTAGCAGAGCTGTTCTGCCCTACGGGTTGAGTCTCAATCCACAAAAGGCCTCAATTTTTCGCGTGGTTACGCAGAGTAAGCAGACGGACCACGGAGCCACGACTTGTGCATACTTGTGCATTCCTGCAGCTCTTGATCGAGAGCCCAAATGAAACCAACACCACGCAAATCAGCCCACCCGCGGTAAAGCTCTGAGACCAGAATCAGATACGGCCGAGACACGGTTTGCAGCAGTGTCTGCATGATGTATGCTTTGGAGTCCAGCTCGGCCTCCCCAGTTCTAGGTTAAGGCTCCGCTTGGCCACATCACGGTGGCTACGTAGCGAGGTCAAGGTCGACGTCGCCACCACCGCGGCGGTGTTGGTGGCAGCAGCGGCTCTGCTGCTCACATTTGGCGGCGGCGTTGCTGGTGGTGGTGCTGGCTGCGCTGGTGGCGGTGCTGATGTTGGCTCGAATGGAAAAGTCAGGAGCACGTCTACCCTCAAAGAGAATTCCTGAAGCAACCATTATGCAGGACACAACGGTCCCAAACAGCAGCTCAAAATGAACACTTTCATGAAGGTTCGCAGGCAAATCCCACCGGCACAGTGCAACAAAGAGCCTCCCTTGCATGGCGCACCACCAAATTGCAACGCAGCCGACCTCTACAGTTCAGAGCACTAAGACAATCTTACTGGAGCAGAGAACACGTTACAGTACAATTCAACACAGCATACGCTCGCCGTTTATATGGTGTGTGTGAACTTTCTTATCCCAGAAACCAACTGGGGGCTGTCCTTGTTTTGCAGCAACGACGAACGTTGCGTAGCATGTGACATGTTGGTGAGAAGGACGACAAACAACAGACTTCATACGGTTCGTCCATACCCATCACCAAAGGCACGCCGCATATCTGGCATGCGTTCAGCCTGCAGCCGATCCAAGGTTTATACTCCAAAGCCGGTGTGTGGCATCTGAATCTCCGGCGAAATGGAAAAACATTGCGTAGAGCGAGGTCCACCGACGCGCAGGCGACTCAGGACTGCCGAAACCCTGGTTTCTGAAGACACTCCATGCCCGCGCCTTTCTCAAGGATTCCGTTTGCCATTTGTGCTCTGGAAGCAAGAACCCGTGGTGTAAGCACTCTGCTAGAGGAAACAACTCACTGCCTCAAAATGGTTGCCTCGCTGTCTTTATCATCTTCCATCTTGGAATCTCTTGGATGTAGGCAAGGCGAATCATGAACGTGGTTTCTAGCATCCGTATCCCGCAAGCAAATGCATCAAGGGGCGACTTTCAAAATCGGTTTCTCTCGGGTACTGCCGCCCGTCATAAAAACAGGGGGCAACTTTCACATGTCGCTGTACAGGGCCATCCTAAGTAGGGCCTGTAGGTGTGTATGGGTGATCCGTCGAATTGGAGAATCGACCTTCTTGAGGTCTAGTCGCGCCAACGTCCAGTGAAGGCCTAGCAACTCGAAGTGGGCCTCATACCGCTCAGGAACGACCTGAGGATTTCTGGATTCCTTGAGCCACTCGCTCGCTGCACATCGCTGTGCTGACGAGATATTCTGGTTCATTTAGGAATGAGCGAAAGAAAGTCCGAGAAGTCCAATCCACCGCTTGGAATGATTGTCGATATTCTCCCATGGCAGCAAGCCACGACCAGTCTTGAACCCAGGATCACAGGCAGCCAAGCTTCACAAGTGTCAGCACAGAGTCATCATCCCAGGTTGTATTGAGACTGTAGCTGTAGAAAAATGTTGAATCTCCACACTTTTTAACACACTGATCACCCACTTACCTAGCAGCGCCCCAGTCTTTTTCCCCACAGACATCACACGTCCACTGACGTGCAGGCAGCCCAAAATTCAAAATACCATAGATACGTCTCTTACCAGTAATATACTCGGAGACACCCCATCTGCTTGTACAAGCCAAACTTGCAGAAGCTCAAGCCCAAGCCTCAATCGATGTTGCAGTCCCAAACCTTGCCAGGTTCAAGGGACACGGTGTCCTCAAACATTTTTCAAGTCCAGTGACCAAAGTGTAGTCACTACTTACCGGGCCCTTCATGACACAGCTGCACATGTGTTTGCACAATTCGGCTTCCCTGTGGACTGGAACATAAGAGAAATTTGAAACGCCTCCTTCCAGCATGCCTGCCACTACTACAAAATATTACGAAATATTATGACAAATGTATCAAACTTGAAGCACGCATTGGGAGGCTGCGCTGGTGGGGGGACTACATCAGAAGTGGGCCGGTAATTACCACTGAAAGGCGCGACGCAGCGAGGCTGGAAGGAGCACAACGCTATGTTTTTTTCCCTGACAGGCGCGGCTGCACGTTCCTGTCCTCAATATTAAGATATTCTACGATGTGCAAATCCTGGTTTTGATACCGATAGACTTCTGCCAAAGCAGTTGCCGGGATCAGCAAAAAAAATCGCACATGCATCAACAAATCAAAATGAGCGAGTGCGAGGACGCTCTTGCGAAACTTTTCAGTGACGTTGAGCAGGTGGTCAGAGCTGGAAACGGCTCCGCTCTCTATGGTCCTGCTGGTAGTCGGAGAATTGCCAGCAGTGCTTGAGTGCACGAGCTGAGTCAGTTCCACAAACTGCGGTGGTCGTGGACACAAAGGGAGGATGCTTGTTCTTGCTGCCAGTCGGAAGCCAACTATGACTGCAAGCTGTCTATAGGAGCTTCTTCTGCCTGATTCTGCCTGAGACGTGGAAAATCGCGGAATCCCTGACTGGCTAAGCTTGCGCAAAGTCCCTGAAGTTGGCCGCAAGGGCTGACAGCTCTTGACTCCAGCCTCGCCGTCGTGGGCCCGTGCGGATGCACGCATAACGCTATGCTGCTATGCTACACTCTGCTTGCTAGGGCTGACGCCGACAGCGCGGGGTCTGCGTTTTTGGGGATTGGGCCTTCGATTCCTCCTTTTCTGACACCTCAACATACCTAGACTTTTGGAGGGGTGCTGGATCTTCATATTATGTGCGATATCAAAAGCAAAATGCGTGCCAGGACAGGCCCCATGATGCTCGTGATGCTGGTTTCTTTGGGGCTGCCGCAGAACCCAGCAAAATGCTCAAAGGTAAACATGCAGACCCAACCCTGTCAACGGCGCATTTCACCGTGCTTGACAGCATCCTTGTACGCCTTTCCAACACTTTGACAGTTCCTATGCTACTGTACCACTACACACCCATCTACACCGACTCTGGCACCGACTGTGGCAAGATGTACTTCGAAATTGAAAATGACAAATGCCAGTCAAAACGTAGAACACATACGTCAACAAATGATAGTCTTTAACTCGTCCTGGTCCCAGTTCAACTCAAAATGACGTCCCAAATGCGCTGATGATGCTTACGTACGCGGTGCACGCGCCGCTTACGCGAGCGTCATCAGCAGGGGTGAGCCGTGCCCTGAAAACGCTTTGATCTTTCGTTGTCGTTCGCGGTGCTATTGCGAGGCCTGTTGCTGACGCAGACGCATCTCTGAGATACTGTACTGACGCCAGCTACTAGTACCGCAGCTTGATTTCAGGCTTCGACGCCTCATTTTACTGACGCAGCCACAGTGGAAACTACTTTTCTCGCGCTGGCTGTACCATAAGCTCTTCTGTTTGCTGCCGAAACCAACATCGCAAAGAGAAAGCTCGTGTTTCACTGTCGCAAGCTATCGCGCACACCACAGCAGCTGATGCGGCCAGTCTTTACTATACCGTATATATCTCCAGGTGGATATGCAGGGGTCAAAGGCAAGGAAATTACACTTGAAAACCAGTTTGGACACAAACTTATCCTGTTTTCTCGAGGTGGTTAGGATTTGGGAGCTAAGCAGCAGAAATCTGCGCCAGGATTTGGGGCGGCTTGGGGCCGTTTGAGCGCAAGATTGATAAATCAAGCCAGCTCTTCTATAGTAGGGGGCGGACGGCTGGCAACCTCGTAAAGTGCTGGCGCTGTGGTGTGCTGGTGGACGAAGTTGTCAACGCAATGCAGAACACCGCCTGGAAACAGGCTCAGGCATTCTACACAAGGCCAGGATCGACAAGAATGCCTTCCAGATCGATTTTCGCTGCAGCTCCGCCTGCAGTGCAGAAGGAAGTTGCTTGCAAGCCCAAGTCAAATGAATCATTGACTTCACAGGCGTGACTCAGCTTTGAACCGAGATGCCAACTAGCCAGCTTTCGGGGCTAGGCCCACTCTGTTTCGACGAGGTCCGCCACGACTCCCAAAAATGCATTTCTTTGCAGTTGTCCTCCACTGCAGCATTGTGAGCGGTGGAACATCCAACGTATGCCAGAAGCACAGTCCTCCAGTGCCTGAAGTAGGAAGGCTGACGTGTAGCCTGGCATGCACCAAGGCTTCGCGTACAGCCTAGCCATGTCTCAACCACAGTCAAGCGATTCAGAAAAGTCAGATTCGAACAAGAGAGTGCGCGAGTAGAGCTGACGCTGGAATATAATTTCCATCCTGCAGCATCACAGGACGGTGAGAGGACAGCCGAGAATGCAAGATGTCCATTCCGATTTGGAAGTTGCTCTAACCGTCGCGTGCTGACAGGCCGTCAATCCGTTTTCAGCAAGACAGAGGATCATATGTCAGCGTAGCCAAGATAGCAGAAGATGACAGAAGCAAAGCTTGGATCGTCAGACTATCACACGGCTCTCAAGTCGGTTCAAAAGCTTTTGGCAGATGAACATGAGCAACAACCTTGATTCATGGTCCGTAGCCCTTATGCGGTACTTTGCGCCCACATCGCATCGTAATTTGATCTTGGGCGAGATGCTGACAAAACCACATGATCGTGTCTGTCATGGCCTCTATACATCTTTCAGCTGCAGCCGTGATCTAGTTCCTGGAAGAGTGGTGTTCCTGCACACAAAATACTGACCGGACTACTCTTCTGCTCTCTTACATGATGGAAAATGTGGCTGTGAACATCCGTAGACTAAAGAATCAATTGATGGTCCATCTGACCTGCTCCGATCTCCAGGCAGCTGCGGGGCTTCACAAAGCGGACGAGGCTATGAAGCAGTGGCCCCATGTTCTCGCAACCTTCAGTTTCAAGTTGTGTTCTCTCCTTTGCTTAACTGATGAATTTGGTTCCTGGATAATGTAGAAATCTTGAACCAGTTCTGTGCATCTACAAGTCGCTCTCATGGCTACTGGCAGGAGGCCTCATCCCACGTGCGGCATTCTACTGGCATGAGCGAGCAAAACGAGGCCCTTGAACATGAAGCAAGCCCGTGAGCCCCAAAGTGCACATCGCTTCAGCGGGCCACACTGACATAAGGCCTGCACCCATGTGCATTGAGTACAAAGGCATCACAGCCTTTAGCCATGCAGCGTCTGCTGTGCTGCATGGCACCGCTCCGACCGAAGGGTCCTTAGACCCAGTCCGGCAACATCTTTCTGGACTAGAGATATGATTATAAATGGATTTTCAACTCACCGTTCAGTCATGAATGTTATCCATAACAAGTAAGTGCGAATCCGTGGTAAGACAGGCATGAATCACGGTCGTAGCTCATAGTCATCGGTTTGGTGCGCGCTGCATGTGCTGCAGATGGTAGCGTTTCAACAAGCTTCTCTCTCCTCGACCTCGGTATGATCACTTTCGCCTTCAGTATCCTGACCAAGGGCTTTGCATTCGAGAATGCAGCTGGAACGGGAAGAACACCAGGGCCTGAAAGCATAGGTCCATTAAGCGACTGTCGGATTCCCGCGGCATGCCAAGCGCCGAGACAAACTCGCTGACGACCTTGTCAGTCTGGTAATGTTCATACCAAAGGTCTTGATCTTGCCTCCTTGCCCTCACAGCGCAAATCCCCGATGGTCTGGTAGCCTTCCTGTCACCAAAGGTTCTAGAGAACCAGAGGCATTTACAAGTCGAAGCTGATCTGAGGCCTCTTGGAAGGATGGGGCAAAGAAACTAGCATCCAGACCTAAGCATCCCCAATTTCATCAGGTTGTGCATCTGAGCCACAGGTGCGCAACCGGAAAACCTCTGGAAAACATATCATGTTCGTTCATGCCAAGAGCTCTCCGTCAAGACATGACACCCCTGCACCAGTCACCAGGTTCACCAGATGAAATTTCTCACACAATTCTGGGGTTACGGCATCGCAGCAGCCCACGTATGGGAGTAGGAGAAGGAAGCCGCATGGCCCAGAATTCTGGAAAAAGTCTTGACAGCAGTTATGACTGAACCTGATCAGGATCATGCCTGTATCATGCAAACGCTGCAGAATCAGCGTTAGGTTTTCCACTTGGAGCAAGAAGCTAACCGCGATGCAACAGAAGTGCTACACTCGGCTTTGGGGTCTGCATCCAATGGAACAAGAGTCCTCATCCTTGAATTTCTTCCTGGGTCGTTTTGGCTTTGCAACTTCCTCTGCTTCCTCCTGAGAACAAGCAGGGGCCAGACCAGGATTCGAGCAGATCATTGCCTGACTTGCCACCGCTGCAGTCAGAACGGTCCTCTTCATCCTCACCGAAATAATCCTTCTTATCCTGCAAGCATTGCTTCTGGAAGAAAGCAGTGAAGTAATGAAATTTAGTGTTCTGGCATGTTCGTGCTGATTCTACCACAGCCATTCCTTCTACCGACAGCTCCGTGGCAGCATGTTCAAGGCTTTGGCTTGCATATTGGCAAATAATTCCAAGTAGCATGTTCTTACAACGCATTTCTACCAACAAAGCACTCACAACCTTGCACATATGGAGCTGCCACGCATGAGAGCGGACGAAACCTGACTTGCCGTCCAACTGCGCACCTCTGGTGTCATACACTTTTCGTGCATCCACCATGCACCAACACCGAGCGAACTAAACTCGGACTTGGTGGTCTTGATCTTGCCAATTTTGTCCTTAGGGGTTGTCAGTCTAGAACGCCACTTTTCTGCCCCCTACTGTAGCAGCGACCTTCAATCCCAACATTGCGTTCTAAGAACGTGACGCAGGGAACCCCCCCCCCCTGCAATCGTGCGACTGTCACAGCTTGCAAGGCACGGCGATCCTATCGAAATGTACACATGTGACAATTTCCGCGGGATCTGGAAAACTGGTCAGACATACCTTGTAATTAGTGTTGACATCCAGCAACAAGGTCTTTCTGATTGGCTTCGTGCGGCATAGGAATTATGAAAACGGGCTTTTGGCACGCCTCACCGTCCCAACCTGGAAAAAGTCTGGAACATGTATGCGTAAATCCTGATCATAGAGCTCAAAGATCAAGGTTCGCTTGGGCGGAAAGGAACAAGCATGAAATGGTGCATAAAACGAAATGCAGTGTTTCGTGAGATCCAATAATAATGACGGTTGAATGAAGGGGTCTGGATTGCGGCGCAAGCTCATGATCCTGAGGGTCTGTGACGGGATATGGAATGAAGAGGCCCGTCGTCATGTTCCAGAGCAATCTTACTCAAAGATGACTCCCCTTTTTTGGAGGAGACTGAAGCATTGTGGAAGCTTGGCCCCATGCCCTGTGCTTGTTCATGCACTTCCAGCAAATAGCCTGTCCAGGCTGTGAAGCCACAAAATCATCACAAACGTAGCCCGGCACAAAGTGCGTGAATCAATCTGGATGCCATATTGTTTTGCAAGCACGAGAATCACGCTACATTGTGCCGAGTAGGCCAGTAGACACCACGCACTGTGAAACTGACCACTGCTGACGGCCTAAAAGTACCTAGCACCGCTTCTTATTCAAAACCATCTCTTCTCAACACTGCATCTTCTTGTCACCCGATTACCCTTCCTGTCAAAATGCCTCCGGACTTCAGACCAAACAACCGAAGGTCGGAAACATTTTGAAGTTTCTGCGGCGTGTACATTGCTGGCCCTCGTTCCAAGCCAGCAAATATCCTTCAGCCGCTTCGGCTCAACATGCTCAACGCCCCTGAGCGCTGCAACTCCGTGCTTCCGACTCGTGGTTTCAAGGGCAGGGCTACTCAAGTGCTAGATTGTACTGGGACAAGGGTACGGGCACTTCTGCGACGCAAACGCACACCATGATCAAATTCAACTTGCCAGCTTAGCCTCCTGAACATCTGTTGAACATCATGGGCAGGGCGCACTACAAGGCAAAGCCAGCCTGGAAGCATCCAGCGAAGTCTCCAGATGAGCGTTTTCGACCACAGTACACACCACCCTTTTCTACCACCGTCCTGACAGCATGCAGCCCAATATTCGTTGCACAACCTGGGTAGACTTGGAACTCGGGACGTTGTGAACTGAGTTGCTAGCTTGGAGCACAAGGAGCAGATCGCTCCGTCCTTGGTCCGCTCATGTCTGCGGCTCGTCTGGGAAAAAGTTGGGTCATGCTGGGTCCCGGTCGGGGAGCCAACCGATGCACTTCGCTTCTTCTGCCTTCTTTGGCTCCTCTTTGAGCGGCTCCGGCCGCTCTTCTTTGGGCTTCTCGGGAGGCCTTGGAAAGCGGCGGATGGGAGCCACCTTGAAAAAGGACTCCCAGCACTGACAAGTACCTGGCTTTTCAAGGCCTTGCAGAACCTTCCAAGCTTTCATCTTGTCCTGTCAAATTCACAAGTCAGCTGCTTTCTGTCCGCTTCACCTTTAGCTGACCGTTAGCTAACCAGGCCAGGAGGACCACGGGCTCATCTTGAGGAGGCGACTCCTTCAAACAAATCAGATCTTGAGAGCTCGCGAGAGCTACACCGTAGCTAAAGCATGTGGCAACTGGCACCCAGCCTGGCCGCCTCTTCTGGGACTTCTGCTCCTGATACATTGACTGGGGGCAGCCCTGCAAATCTGCCACAGAAGCATCATGGAGGCAGTTTCCTGGGTTTCTCTCTTTCCCTGGCTTTGGGTTCCGCTTTGGGCTTCACTTCAGCTGGAGCTGCTGGCGGTGGAGAGGCTTTGGGAGCCTCGGATCTGCTACCGGCAAAGAATCTCGAACAGCCCAGTGCGGCAACGTAGCGGAGAAAGCACGGCCCAAATTCAGGGCAGCTTGCTGCAGCTCCGCCTGCAAGGTCTGCAAGGTCTGCAAGCGCTGGTTACACATTTTCCAAAATTGCGAAGTCTGATCATTGCCTGCGACAGAACAGGAGCTGGCCGAGATGGCGTGATGCCAGCGGCGGCCGCTGCTTGCACCGCCTGCTCTGCCTTGATGGCCTCTCACAGCCGAAGCAAGATAAGCAGATGAAGCAGTTTCCACTTTTCTTTCGAAGACGCCTCTTCGTCTGAGGAATCCTGCATCAGATCTTCTGTTGCAGAAACCTGCCACGGCCCAAACCATGCTGCCCAAGGCCACATGCATGGGCGGGAGCATGCAAGCCTCAAACTTTCCGTTGTCAGCCACCAGCACCTCCGTGACATTGGCAGCCGTGCTATCCACCACAGACCTGCATGGGGTTCCGGGCCAGGACTTTTTGCACCAGTGAGGTCATTGATGCACGGGAAGTGGGGTTCTATACAGTGTCAGATTGTCAGGATCTTCAGCCCTAAGCAATGGACTGCGCGAAGGCATCGAGCCGAAGCTGGTGCAGCGGTGCCTTGCACTGTGCGACTGCAAATCTTCTTCTGTCTGTGCACGCGCTGCTACTTCTGCTAGTATCTAAGGTCCAGCAGGTTGATCACAGATTGGGCAGCACCTGCAGCACGTCATGAATTAGGCATCGTCCCCGGCCCAGGCACTGGTGTCTTAGGGATCTGCCATGCATGTTTTGGTGGAATGCTGCGCATCGTGTGGATGTACGAGTTCAAGTCGAAGCATTGAAGATGCTCACACCTCATTCAAGCCCTCATTGTTGCTTCGCAGGAGACTACAGTGACTCATACCAAGAACCATGCCTGGAACCTCGTGCAGCTCGTTCGATGCGAAGGAGGCTAGCTGGCACAGTTTGTTTGTGGCATCAATGCTTGTGCCGTCAACGTGGATTTCTAGAGCCCTGCTGAAAGGCATGCGAACTGGAGTAACTATAGGCGTTGACGCCCTAATTGAGCAGCACTTGCATCAAGGCTCCCACTGCAGCATGTGAGCTTCAGAACGGGGGGCTCAACGCAACGCAGGGTGTCCTGGAAGCATTTGCATGTTGTTCTGCTTGCAGTTGCCCTACCTGACAGGGCTCCCAGAGGCCTTCTTTGACACCCGATCCGGACGGTGCTCGCTTACCCACCTCATGTTCTTCTCTATACCCATGTGACTTACGCAAAGATTGAAAACTGGGACGCATGGCAATCGCACGCGCTCAAGATCCAGCTGCATGCGATCCTGCACAAGATGCATTGGAAGGAAATGCCACCTCTGTACCAAGAAAACATACTTCATGTTCACGATGACTATCTAGCTCGCTCTGGAGCTTTGCAGGGCTCCTCGTGCGGTGGCTGTTGCTGGACAACCTGCTTAAAGCTGACCAGAGTTGAAAGTCTTGGCCTGATCACAGTCCGCCTGTTCGCTGATCTCCTCGTCCCGGACGACGCCGAGGCTCAGCACAAAGCCTGAGCCCGATGTCCAAGATTAGCCCTGACCACTGACAGTCTACCCCTGGCAAAAACCAGCCACGCAACGCATCTGCAAACAAGATCAGACGAGCAGCATGGTCGTTTCTAGGCCCCTACACACAGCAGCTATCTATCCCAGCTGCACAAAGATGCTCTCCAGTGCAGGATTTCAGTGTTGGATTTTGGAATCCTTTATACTTGTGGAACGCAACTAGGATGAACCAGGTTTATTTGCTTTTGAAAGCTGATGGATCTAGATTCTAGATCCATGATATTGGTTTGTGGAATCCTCCGTATTATGGATCTGGCGTGGAGTGAACTGTTTGTTTTGGGAATCCTCTTAACTTTTTGGAGCTGCTGCGTTTAAGCTGCTAAATTATTAGCTTTTGTAGTTGAATTTTGGCACCGCTAAATTCAAGTATCAGCTTGCGGATTCATCCAGAACTGTGGGGCTGCCAAAGGATTTAAATGTTAAACAGCTTTGATGGGCTAGAGTTCTGGAACATTCTGGAACTGTTAGATTCAACTGTTTGCTTCTGCTGGCATCACCACAAGCGACTCACTCGGACGTGTGCTGGGGGGGAGGTCGAAGGGCTGGGGCTATGTGTCAAAGCACATACACATGCAAACCAAAATCCCCAAGAGCGTTGCAAGATAAGGAAAGTATTGTGGTCAGGCATGGATCAAAATTGCTTCGGGATCAGGATGGCGCACGTGGCTTTGCTGCTGGCAAAAGGGCTGTTAATGAAACAATGTCAGAGACCGATTTTGCACAGAACTGTGGGCCCCTGCCAACAGCCCAGATCTCAGTCTTCTTTGCGGTGATGGCAACGTTCACCTCGCCGCCACCACTGCAGCATCAACATAGGTGAATGTCGCATGAAAGCTCTGTGCATTTCTTCAGTATCCCTTGCTGCCTGCATCGGATGGTTGACCTGCACTGCGTCTCTCTGCTTACATCTTGAAATAGAATGCTATGTTGGGGAACCGCTTCCGGCATTGATTGCGAGTCTTTCTTCTTCTATGTGCGCATGCTGTGCCATCCTCTTGCCAATTCCAAGGTGCTACAACACTGTCTCTTCTTAGCCTGCACACCTCCAGCGGTCGCCGAGTCACAAAGTCTGTGAGGTTGAACGGCCCTGGAGCCTTCGTCAAAGATGTGCAGGCAAGACATCTGCGCCCCGAATGAAGGAAACATTCGGGCTGCCTCGAAGTGCTCATCGTCCGGCTTCTTCACCAGAACTCTGCGGTCGCCAACAAAGATTGAGATTCCGCTCGGCCTCAGGATGCAGGCACCGACAACCCCGCCGGCGGCGCTAGCCACAAACCAACGCTTTAATAGCAGAGTTCTGTCCATCCATGTTCCGCCGTTTCTCATCACACGGCCTGGCTGTAGCTCCGAGAAGCCACAGGCTGAGCAAACGGAACGACACCTGTTACGCAACGCGGTCATTTGACCTGGAATGGATTCACAGCGCAATCGGGCAGCAAGCCAATTCACTGGTAGCGAAACAAGGTGATGATGGGTGGGGAGTGCACAACTTCAACCTCAAATGTTCGACCTGTCAGTACAGAAGACCTGGCTGCATCCAAGGCGAAGCTGTCATTCTAACTATGGGGTTGGGACAGTTTGCGTTCAAGTTGGAGAAAATTGGTATGAGTACTGTGGGCCATGGGTCATTTGACCAGCCAACACCTAAGCTCACAATCCCTCTGCAAGGCTTCAGGAACCGCCAGTTCTGTGTGCGCCCTTCCATGCTCATCTATGCTGCTTTTTTTGGACTGCCATTTTCGTAGCTCAGCATCCAGTTTGAAGTGCTGGCTGGCCTGGCTGCAGGTCTATGCATTTGTACACGCCTCCTGTGGACAAAACTTCTGTCAAAATGGAAAAAATGCCGAGTTTTCCAGCATAGGGCAGGAGTGGATGGGGGAGGCGGACTCTAAATTACAAGTTCATCTTATGCATGTCAACGAGTTTGAGGTACTTTGACATAGTTGGCGCTTTATGGGCGCCCTGAGCGAGTTTCCGCCATTGGTCTCTTCATCAATGGCACCTACATCCACCTGAGGGACTTCAATTACAGCTTTTTTCCTTGGAAACTTCAAGGGATAGTTCTAGGCCCTCTAGGCTGGCTGATGAACAGTTCTATAGCAAAAAGTCAGTTTGCGTCGCATGAGAGCAAGTTGGATGAACTTGCGACGAAGACCGACCAGTGGATTCTGCGAAGCGAAAAGCGCGGCCATCCCCTTTAAGTGCCCCTGGCAATTCAGCAAACAACGGCAAGGACGTGGCCAGCTGTGAACCAGCTCGTAGCGCCACTCGGGTGCGTCAACCCGTAGGCACCGGACCTGCTGCACGGTACTTCCTGCTGCGGCGCAGCCTTTCACAGCGCACACTTGGCCTCTAAGATGTGGTCTGGCATCAGTCGTCCTGTCCTGCAGATCACCCGCGGCCAAAGATGTATATACTCTGATATTTTATGATATTCCGTTCATTTCTGCTCAACATGCTCGCAGGACGCCTGTACTCGATGAAGCCCATGATGGGCAACTTGATAATGTTTGGAGCTCCCGCCTGGCACGCCAATGGCCTGAACCCATTTTGATTGAAACACGAACACGCCACGATGCCTTTAGAGTGCTCCAGTGCAGGAGCTTCTTCGCAGGTAGCCAAGGATTACAGTTTTTGAACCTGCACATAGAACAGATTTCATCTGTTTGCTACTGGACTGCCCCGAGCCTGCATGGCACACAGAGGCCACAAGAGCTCGAGGACGTGGAGTTATACAAAGGCATCTTGCAACCTGCCGGCGGCGGGGCACGAAACAGTGATGGTGGGCCTCACGGCTTCGCACCTTCGCACTCGCTGCCCGGCGGTGGTGGGGCCTCGGCAAGATTCCATAGCTCACCCAGACCTCCCATGCCTAGCGCGGGCCCTTCGCCTCTGGCAATGGCCCGCCATCTGGTGGTGGTGGAGGCGCGTCTGGAGGCGCGTCTGGAGGTGCGTCTGGAGGTGCGTCTGGAGGTGGCACGGGAATCTCATCAGGTGGTGGTGCAGCTCTTTCCCTGGCAAGTTTTACACATGTCCGACTGCAAGGTGCTGCACAGAAAAGCGAGGAGTACTCCGGCGGAGGTGGATCCGCCGTTGCAGCCTCTGCTCGATCAAGAAGCTCAGCGCGCATGACCCTAACTAATTTGCGGCGCAAATCCTTCGGCTAAAACATGCGCTGCAGTTGTGAGACGACAAGGAAGTGTCGTATGGCAACAACGTTCTGAAGCATTTCCGCTGGGCTGACAGACAGAGAGTGGTCTTGCGGTCAAAATGCCGCTCTTGGCCTCTCCTGTCTCGAAACCATGCCAGGCTGTTGCTGGAAGTCTACAGTTTGGCACAGCCAGTTCTGAAAATCATACAACATGAACCCGGCTCATTGTCACCCAGGTTCTGAAAGTCTTTGCAGCCGCATGCAAAAGTGTAACTGAGACAAGCTAAATCTGCCGCCCCTTCTGGCTCCCTTGACACCCTTAGCCTTATAGCTTTGGGTTGTATGAAGTAAATCTACCCAACCCAGAGAATAGCCACAAGGGTCGTTGAATGACATTCGTTTGGTGAAAGTCTTTGAGAAGTCTTCGTGCACAGACTACAGCTGTGCCTGTACAAGCAAGGAATTAGTACTGTGCGCCCCTAAGGCTGCATGAAAGACTTAAGATTTCTTAAACCTGCCTCAGCCTTAGCTTGCTTGAGGAGAGGCTAACCTCTCCCCAGCCAGTCTGATCCTCTCCCATCGAGCTTCCGCTTCGCCCCAGCAGCACAGGATTTGTTTGTGGGGCGTCATCAGCTTGGTAGGCACGGCGAAGAGTCCTTAAGAATCTTTTCAGAACAGCCCGTGAGGAGATTTGGTTTACATGCCAGCTTGCAAGCACAAATACTCCGGCCTGGAGCAGAATTGCATGAGGAAGCTGAGAAGAAGGATTGCCAAGGCCAGGAATTCGGATGGCATGTAGCGACTGCTCGAGGCAAGTCCCATGCTTCGCGCTGTGAGGGCAGCCAAGGGAAGAATCCCGGCATCCAGGGTTGCAGCGGTGACCGTATCAGAGTGACGAAGAACTGCCAGCCTTGAAAGCGTCTCTGCTGCTCCGAGGCAAAGCGCTGCGATGGCGATCACACTCACATCAAACGTCTCCGCTGAGACAACATCCCCCGCTTTCAAAGGCAAATGGCCCAAGGTCAGTGGCAAAACTAGCATAGACCCAAAGAATCCACTAAAGCCGCCCACAAAAAAGAGACCACCCAAAGAATTATCCACCCCTGCCCGTTGCAACAGGAAGGCCCCGCTAGAACACCGCAAAGCGCGGCACAGCATTGCCGTAGCTGCAGCTGCGATGAGCAAGGCAGAGTTGGAGTCTCCAGGCCGTGAGATCTCGGAGGTTCCTGGATCGGCCACCAGCCAGGAACAAGCTAAGCCCAAGGATGTCGGCAAAGAAAATAGTACGGCTGCCAGTGCCTCAAATTCAGCGAGAGGACTACGACAGCGACATGCGACATCTGTTCATAGAGGTATCTTTGTTCGCAAAGCTTTCCCAAAATAGCCAGCTTTCTTGGGGGTCTCTTTTCATCACTCCAAAAAGGGCCGCTGCGATTGGAATGTCAGCGCTGCGCAGGAAAGCCAAGACTACCCTTTGCCTGCCACTGGCATGTAGCTTCATTCCGAGGTTTCATGCAAGCAGCGTTCACTGAAGCAAGAATGGAACGAGGGTTGAGAATGCAACCAGCGGCCTGCCACTGCCGAAGGGAACAAAGAAATCAAGTGCCGCAGCGCAAGCTTCCTGACGTTGGCTTAAATTGTGGTAAGGTACTGCAGGGGAACAGCCGACACAAATCTACGTAGTAACCGCACCTTGATCGTCTTGGACAACCCTTGAAAGTAAGAGTAAGTGCTACCACAAAAAACATGCGTATGTCAGAACAAGTTCTGAACCACACCCACGTCTCCAAAATGCCCAGCATGGCGGCCGCTGCAATAGCCCTGCCCGTAACAGCAACCGAGGGAAACCAAGCCTGGGTGCGAACTTTATGAGCACGTAGTGAGCACGTGGATGCACAGGGTAATTACATTACAAGCTTGTTCGGACTGCGTCATACTGCGTCTGAAAGACCCCGTCCACGTGGCGAAACCACAAAGCGCCCATCATCAGGACAGGCCAAGCCATCCACTGAAACGTGACGACTGGCAACGGGAGTGGTCCAATCGAAAGTGTCCCTGACACGATGCAGGCCTCAAAAGACAGGCAGAATGCACCACTCGCTCTGCAATCCCATTTCTCAATTTAGCTTCGCACCTGCAAAGCTCTCAGAGCCATCGTGCACGGGAAGAGCACGCAAGCAATCAGAGCAGTTGCCGGCGCCGGCCACGGTAGTTGCTGTTGCCGCACGAGCAACTTGCCAATCCTGCCAACAGAGGCTTGGTGGTGCATCTTGACAATGCCAATGCAACTGCTCGTTCTCGGTCCTCCTGCTTTTCAGCACCATGGCAGACACAGCGCAGCTCAGGAGATACGCAAATTTGTAACTATCAGGGACCAAGCATGTTTGAACACATAAACCTGCAGGGATAATTGCTAAGCATCATGCTGCAATGTAGGCCTACCTGGCTGCTAGCACAAACGCACAGCATCTGCAGCACGTGCCTCTCCCTTCGTGTCTTCGCCCTGCTCTTGTTCAAGAGCATCCCATAGCTCGTCATCAGACGCCATGCAGACAACTTCTGACACGAGCTGGCTGGTTCAACTGGGATATGTTCACTAAACGTATCTCAAAACTGCAGAAGGACATCAGTGACTTACATGGAGATGTAAATCAGCAAAACACCAGGGGACGGGGGGTTGCTGGGTTGTCTATTTGTTGTGAAGCTGCAGTTTGTTAGCCATGGTCGCTGCATCAAGTGAAATGTGCTACAGCATGCTGCATCCCATTCAGCCCACTGTGCATGCCGTCGTAAATGTGATAGGACGAATGGAAAGCTTGCTAGATTACAGTTCAGCAGGTGCTACGGTCAAAGCCTGATTAGTACTGTAAGCCATATCATGGTCGCATGACCTTCAGCACCAAGCAGCGCCAACCGGCACAGAAATAAATTGCGCCTAAGAACCTTCAGATACGACAGACCGTCTTGTTGGTAGCTGTTCCAGTTGCAGGGTTGTTGCGATGTGTTGAGTTTGTCTGTGCCGGCTGGCCTGTCAATTTGTCCTCCACCTAGTGCAGCACATCAGTCACCTTGAGGCTCCAGCAGGGAGTTGTCTCAATTGCAAGATTTGCGTGCTTGTCATGCGGCGGCAGCCTCAAGAGCAAGGCCTTCAGACAGCACAGAAGGGCAGCAACTTTTCACGCGGTAAAATGGCAGACTCAGCCGGCATCATTACAAACTCTACATGGAGAAAATCTTTGTCTCATCAGCTTCTGCTTGGACGGCTGGCCAATCACGAAGACCCCTACCTAGGCGTGAGATCCATGTCCCAGACAGCAGCTGTGGCGAGTCTGCTGCGACTTCAGAGGTACTAATCGTACTGGTATACTAAGGCAACAGCACACCAAGTCAGGCATGTCCCACACACAACCCGTAGCCACTCCAACCTAGGTTGAAGTTCCGACAAACGAAAGAAAGAAAATTCAGAAGTGGCTCAGACACGATGCCTTCTTGGCCTCCTCTTTGAGCCGATCCTCCAAAACATCCAGTGGACTGTCAGCCATTTCCGGCCTTGGAAAGGCTCATTGGGCCATGTGCTCTGGGCCATACGGAAGGAGCTCAGACCACGAATTTAGCACCAGGAGCTGCGCGGCACGCCACAAGCGTGCACCGCAATGCCTGTAGAATGGTGGGACAGAAGCTTTGCAGGTGAGCACTACTCAGCCAAGCTGCGGTTTCCCGTGCCCTCCACCTTAGCAACTGGCAGTCCAGCCAAAGCATGCAACTCTATAAACCTCCTTTTGCAAAGAAATTGTGGGCCATAACTGACTGGTGTTAAACATCCTCACGAAGGTGCACGGTGCGATTGGCTTGAAAGCTTCTACCCTGGAAAACCCTGCTGCTGCTGCTGCTGCTGCTGCAGCTACTGCTTCGCAAAACTGCGTCGCATGCCATTCTCATTTACTGCGGAGCACGAAGCATGTTCCATCTTCCTCTCTCCCCAATGCAGCTTTACATGGAGGCCGCTTTCCATGTGCGTTGGTAGCGCTTGTCCGAGTCCAGGGGTTCTATATCCACGGGTGTTGTTGTGGATGGGCATCTAAAACTTGCGTAAACTGGCTGCAGAGCATGGCTGCTTTGTCCGGAATGGCGGCTTCACCTGTGTTTGCCTATGCCTTTGAACGTGCCTAGCAAACAGCATGGACTAGCGAACAATCGCGAACACCAACGTCACTGCCGCAGAGCTACGTCAAAGATTTTCTCCAGCTCGTTCTGCGGGTTGGCAGGCTTGTTGACCTACAGAACAACTCTGCGTGACAACGTGAGCTAGTGCGAGAAAACCCTGCCTGAATGGAAAAGCTTCTGCCCAAGCCGCGAGTCTCTAAAGCTCCGCTGTATGCGGCTAAAGGGGCCGCCTTGGCAGTATGTTACATTTGCAAAGCTGCTCAGCATGCTTGCTTACCTGAGCTTCGGGCCAAGTCGACATGCGGCAAAAAGTTCGTGGCAACGACACCGCGGGGCCGTAAGAGGCCGTCCGAGAGAGCTTCAACGAGGCCTTCGCCCCTGCGAATATGAAAGCAGCTACCCTCGCTCGAGGACAGATATGTTGCACATGCAGAACCTGCTCCACAAGGCAGCTGGCACATTCCCATCAGGATCGTACGCATCCACAAGAACCTTTGGCAGCAGGGTATGCACACCAAAAACTGCATAGCGACAAAAGACCGAAACGTGGAAATCCGACACAGACATGGTGCTTCCTGACAAGATGTACCTCGTACAGTATCACTCACTGCAGCAAACTGAAGCCTTCGACAAATCACTTACACAGCCATTTGTTGTGACACTTTGCCAGGCGACCGCATCATAGATTCCCGTGCCCTTGTCACTCGCCTGACGCTAGCATACGTTGCGCTTCAACAGCCAGCTCGAATCCCCGTGGCATGGAAATTGAAATTGGTCTTCGTGTCTGAAAGTTAGCGCGGGCATCTGCACTTGGACAGACACACCTAGTTTGGTCAAGGGGGAGACAGTCCTGGACCTTCTTCTGCGCAAACGCCACCCCATCCTGTCGGACATGAGCTCCATCCACAACAAAAGCAGCACGTAGCACGGCATAGCACTCAACTGCCACTGCCAGCGTCACACCTCTACAAAAACGCGTAGGTTGTGCCATTCTCGAAAGCCCATACCCTGGACAGTCATCCAGCTTATACAGCACGGAGAATGTGGCAATCGAATGTCTGCACAAGCCTGCTTAGCAGCGTGGACCACCTTGGTTTGTCGACCGATTAGGTTTACCATGGTTTACACGGGGTGCAACCATTCGCGTATCTGATTTCCTTGTACGTACTCAATACTTAAGAGCAGCACTGCTGGCTCCAACTCAACCACATCCACCTGACAATGAGGCAAACTCTCCGCGTAGAAAGTCCTGAGCTGGCAATCCACCCACATTAAGCAGCCACTTGCATATAAATCCCACAGCACATAGGAGCGGCACGGGACGGATCCGCCACCCAGCCCGATGCAAAGGATTCTCAGAGTATCCTGCGTCACATTCTCTCACAACAGCACCATGATAATAGTCTTTCCAAAGACCCACAGGCTTTGTCAACTTTACAGTCATCCTGGATGCAATGTGGTCTGGTGATATTAAACAGGTATGGCAGTCAAAGAGATGATATGACTTTGTGTGACTTATTGGGTTTTCTGGTAGCTCCGTGCAAACGAGTTTTAGCGAGACTTACCGCAAGCTAGCAGATTAAGTTCAATGAGATGGAACAGACTCATTGGGATGTGTTGACACTGTTGAACTTGTTGTACATGCCGTGGCCATTCATGTAACACGAAGACCCCAGGAGCTACACCATATCCAAATCGCACGCATCTGGCCTGCCAACACCTGAACTCAAGTACGTAGTAGCAGCCCTCGTACATAGTTTCTGTCCTTGACTTTCATGGCATTTCTTGGTAGGACTGGGGCACCCATCGCTGCTAAAGCCGCTAGGACGACAGTGGCGAAGGACTGCAAAGGCGAGGAACGGCCATCACTTCTCAAATGCAGCCGAACACAGCCAATGCGACAGGCACATGCCAAAGCAGCTCCACGACCTACAATTACCGCATCATGCAAGAATTGTTGTTTTCACTTGAGGTGGGGACTATCATATGGTGTCCTACTTAGATACTTGCTGGCCTATCAAAATACCCGCCTCATGCACGACCACTCTTCTTGTGACAGCTTGTGACAGCTTGTGACGGCATGTGGCTTGCAAAGGTTTGCAGCCTTGGTGTAGGCCAGCGGCACCACATGGCCTTCGTAGTTACTGGATGCAAGCACGATCAAGCATGTTTACAGCCTGCGTCAGGCCGGCCTTGCATCCTGGGAGCGGGTTCGCCATTCGGATAGACAACAACCTGACAGAACCCTTCTGAGTTGGGACTGTGTTCCCAAGAGCTCCTAGCCTTGGTCACGCTCTGTATCAGACCTCCGCCTCAGACGTATTGCAGGTACTGTTGCCTGTGAGTCTGGAGCAACCTCTTGCTGGCACCATTGCACCAGGGAAATTCCAGTGTTGCAAGTGTTCCAGTGAAGGATCTGGGGATTATGCTATCCAAAGGCCTCATCCTGCCATTCCCAAGCAAGGGTCCGGGAGCCCATTGCAGGCTGGCACGAGGTAACTCCTCCTTGTTACCCTGGGCGAACAGTGCCATTCGACCTGGAATCCAGCAGCCTCAACCGCAGGAAGGGATAACCCACAGCTCCTACAACCACTTGACGTCGACGAACATTCCCCAGGTTTTCATGCAGGTGCTGCACTAAAACGAACGCTCTGGCACTGCCAGCACGGCTTGCAAGTGACAGTCTACATACGAAAGATGATGGGATGCTGCAGCATGGCTGAAAACGGATCCACATTCAATCCAAACGTCACTGTCACTTCATCGTCAATCAACCTCTTGAAATCGGAGTGTTCATCGGTTGGCACGTGTCTGAAACCGTATACTCTGCAAAGCAACCGTCTTCCCTACCCTAGTCATAGGAGAATCTAAGGACCGCTTAGCGCCAAATGTGCCGAGTCACTGCGCAGAAACCGGAGGCAGCGCCATTCCTCAACATCTGTGCAAAGGTTGTGATTTAACCCCGTATACAGTAGGAATTTTCCCAGCTTGCCCCCCGAAAAAGAACAGCTGCAGAGACATCACGGACACACATCGCCCTGACAGACCACCTGCATATCCTGCATCTGAGACTCCTGGAATGATCCCGCAGGTGCTCCAGGTGGTGCTTGGCACTCGGATGCTTTATGCGCGGTCACCTTCAAGCATCTTCAAGCAGTCTCAATCTCGTCTCCATGTCAGCGAGCAGTACTTCAGTGATCCATTGAGAAGGCGTTCCGCAGCCCAAAAAGCTACGTACTGCGGACGGTGCTCCGGTGGATATAGGAATTCTTGCTCCACAACCTAGGACTCCGAGGATGCTGCAATTCTACGGATCGGACCTAGGGTGGTAGAAGATTTGCTCGATCAACAGTAGCAAGACATCTTTTGCCAATGTGTTCCAACCTCCACAAGCTTTGGCTGCCTTTCCTGGAAGGATGGTTTCCCTGGTTTCTCTTGGGGTCATTTGCAGGAGCGGATCACCCCTCGCACGTGTCGTTGTAACAAAAGAGTTGCTAGCCATTTGAGCATCGATCTGCTTCGGAAAGCGTGCGGCTCCAAAGTGCAGAGCACTACTCTGCATATGAGACCTATGCGAGAGTGCATGCGCCATTTCAAGCGGTGGCTTGCAGGAAGCACTTTCCAGGGCAATAAATCCAGGTGAGCTTTTGCTGCACAAGTACATGTTTATCGCGATGTAGCATTCTGTGATCAACTGTCAGCTTGAGCAAATTAGCGGCAATACTGCAGCAATTATCGGAAACAGCACGTTAGATTCTGATTCTGATGCTGCTGAGATTGTGAAGGTCGCTTCTGGGGCATAGTCATGATCACGCCGGTCTGAAAGGGAAGGCAACAGTGGCGCATGTACCGGGCAGAGATTCAGATGCAAAAAAAAACACTTCCATGAAGGCCGAGGGCCATCAGAGGGGCCCCGACATGCATCCTCTGAAATCTTCCGCTGAAACCATGAAATTGGGTTGCAATGATGCAAGGGCACCCCAACTAAAGACCACCCAAAGGGCGGGAGACACGCCCCCGAGGAACTATGATCAAATGCCGCGCCGACTGATCGTGCGCCGTGAGAGACTTCTCCGACCCCGCCCATCCCTGTGACTGTTGCACTTTTGACGGATACGACCCATGCCGGAGTCCGAAAGCGATAACCCCTACCCCACTGAAACAAAATGGACCCCAAAGCGTCATGATCTATAATGGCATGCAACTTGACGGGGTGAGTTTCAATATCACATGGGCTATCGTTGGCTTCAGATGCTTGAGAATCTGCGCTGCCCAGGCTCTCAGCTCGGCTCGAACTCTCAAACCGCGACCGTTTTCATAGACAACATACGAGGCCTCAAGTGTGCCACCGTTGTCCAGCGGCAGTTCCAGGATCAACTTGGTCACTGCAGCAGAGGCGCATGCTGTGTCAAGCATCAGCGGCCATAACTGTAGCTCAGGTTGCCACTCTGCCCGGAGCAAAATACCTGGTTCAAGTTTTCATGCCGTGCAGTTCTCCGGCACGATGTCACTGAACTCAAGAAAGCCACGGTTGACCCTGGCAACCCCAAGACTACTGACTGACGCCTGCTGGCTTTGCTCATAAGTGCTGGGTGGGAAGGGCACTCCGTTATTAGGTCCTCTCGCCCGGGATCCAAAGCTCTGGAGGCGGGGCGGCTTCTTCGAACCTGGCAAGACAAGGACGCCCAGCCTACCGTGCTTTCAAAGTCACAAAAAGCATGCTCAGCCCTTCTCTCTTTGGGAATATTCGCTGGCAAGCTTTGGCCAACACGGATGAATGGGATGCTTTGCATTCCAAGAGAATCAAGAGACGTGCATGGCTGCCATAGCATCTTGGCATGGCACCTCGTATCTCACCCCACGTGGCCTTAAATGATCTATCCCACAAGGGCACTTCCACTGCACAATGTGAGTGAGACACAAGGGGAGCTGCAAGACTTTGTTGCCTTGCTCCGAGATGTTGCGAATCCACTGCAACTTCCCTGAATCTCAAAACAACAAATCTTCGGCACACCGCCCTGCCACCAGGCAAGACCCTCACGGCATTTAACACTGCGGATGGAGGAAATCTAGCAGCAGTTAACGTACCGTATACCCCAGTATGCTTTGATTCGGATTTATTGTCACCTCTGGAATCCAAATCGCAAACTCGGAGCCTGCTACGAGGGCAGTCTGGAAACTGCCGAATTAACCAAGGGCCACAAGCATGTGCAAGCAATACTGCTGCATGTGCAACAGTTGCCAAGTCCTACCCAAGCTTACTTCTGATAAGATCTCTGCTGTTGTCAGGATTCTACAAGTAGATACAGGCCCTTGCCCCACGACATGACCAATGCGTGTTAAAGGGCTGCAAGGAAGTGGATAGCTCCAACTACAGCGAGGGCTCTGGGGAGAGGACTTTGCTGAGTCGGTGCACTAAAGCTGGCTGAAACGATGTGCGAGCAAACGAGGAATCAGAACACCCCTTTGCGCCGAACAATCCCTGAAGAGCACCCCTTTGCCCCAAACTGTCCCTCAAAAGCAGCGAGTGCTTCTGCGAGGACGGCACTGAAACATCCAGCCGACAAAGAGCAAGGTCGATCAGTCAGTATTGAAGCCTCCTACACTTCATACAGAAACGACGTTCGTAACCACGAAGGCTCACTTTCCATAATGTGTGGTCCCATTTCATTTCTTCCATGCTGCTTCAGGTATTCGAGTTGAGGATTGTCGGGTTTGATGCTCACATGCCTTTCGACCTGACGAGCCAGGTTCAAATCAAGGGTTGGTTACGTGACAAGCAACAGATGAAACCCCCTGGTACGTTGAAGGATTTTGCATCCTCGAATTAGATGAGACCGTCAGTAGATCCAACGAGCTCAGGATGCATGAAGCGAGAACAAAACTTCCAGGTTTCAATCACTAGTTACCTTCGATACCTGCGTAGCGGGGACACGCAGACAGAGCTTCGCTCAAGAAATCTCAGGTCGCAGATTTCATGAGACCAACGGAATGCTGCTGATCCAGCTCTCTCGCTGTAGTCGCGTTCCATGCAATCGCATGAGGCACATGTGCACTTTCAGCTAACCTAAACGGACGGGATGTAATCAATCACGTTTGCTATTCTCGCCCCAAGAGAAGGCTGACGTAGGTCCATGCTTGTCTGCCCCGGACTGCTGACCATCAAGTAACAAGCCTGCCCATGGGATAATAGTGCCAGGCATCCCGATCATCCCGTCCAAAACTAACCCAGTCCCAGGGGCTTCTTGTCACAACAGGCATTCCCTGCTACGGTCGACATGTGTCGGGGGAAGGTCAGGTTCAGGTGCCCTCTGTTGGACAGTGCAGTCAGCTGACGTCAGGTCCGGAAACGGCAGCTGGGCCTGACATGGGACTTGAGGGCATCGCCGACAAGATGATTAGTGGCATGCCTGGAGCACGGCATCGTCTCTTTGAGAGGGAACTCCTAAGCAAGCTGGCATCAGCGCCTGATGCCTTTCACAATAAGCACCAAAGCTCAGGACCAAATGGCATTCGATTGCCAGAGGTCTCATCTGCCGGACCTTGGCAAAGTTGAAATACTTCTTTAGCACGCGCGCAGATTAGTCGCATAAGCCTGGTTTGTACATCCACTGCGTTGCCACATGTGTTAAACTGTTCAGCTAAAGCTTTTCAAACTGACCGTTCAGCTTCCATGCAAGTCCTAGATCCGCCTTGCGGAACGCATACAATGAGAAATCTTTAAAACGGAATGAGACGCTGGGCACTGAAATGTCGTCCAGCGTCTGAGTAGATAACCAGTACCTTCGCGCCGAGGCAGCTAGTTTGACAGTGCTTCTAGAGCGCTTTACAGGACGCCTGCAAGGCTTAAAGTCGCTGCGCCAGGCTCCATCCAGTATCCTTGCAAGGCCTATAGAGGCTTGGCAAACAGCCTGTGTTTCATTGTTGATGTAAACTTGACAGCAACCAACATCCAGCCGCGATTTTGCATAACAGTGGAGCATTTCCCAGTGTTATCTTCATAGCTGTTTCATAGTAAAGGCTGATGCTAGTTTGTTTGATGATGGCCACTAAGGTAAGCCATGACAGCATTAAGGCCATGAATGGTGCGTAGTTGCCCTGTGTTCAACTGGCTTCATTTGGGCTTTCCTGAAACCTGCATTGCGCGCTGTTTTTCTTGGCAATCAAAACTAATCTGTGATAAGCGAACAGCTGACAACACCGTACCAATGCTGTGCTGGTATATATAGATATATGTGTATATATATATATATGCCCAAAACATGTGGATCGCATTGACAGGATGTGATTTGCTGTTAGTTAGTCACTGCTTGCTCTGCTCAATGTTTCGTAATGTTCTGCACACATGAGTAGCTCGTTGCGTCCGTTTCTAAGTACTTAATGTTGGATTCAGTCATAAGTGGCCTTGCCCTTTATGTGCGACGATGGCATTCTGAAGCTTCAGTATAATAGCCATTAATAGCCAAACCTACAGATCCTAGATGGCTTCCAGTTTAGCATGCAGGAAAAACACTGTCGATGCTAAAGCTGTTTTTGCCGGTGAGAAGGCCAAGGGAAGTTGTGCTCTGCCATACACGGAGAACCAGTTCAACAATAAACTGCATTTTTGTTCTTAAACCGAGGCCCCACGAACCTGCAGCACTCCAGAGGTCCAAGTTCAAACGTCTCGGATGCGCGCTGACGAAATAGACCCAAGATGGTAAGCCCTTGAACCTGGGCTCCTTTCCACTGTTGCAGACACACAAAACTGAACTTTTGTGATGCCAGTAGATGTTCGATCCTTCCCATCGGTGACAGTTCATTGCCCAGTTTGATTCTCTTGTCGAGTAAGGTTGGAGAGTCCACGGAATCGCGGAAGCTGCATCGGCTTGGAGGCTGTGACAAAAGTAGGATTGTCCGAAATACGATTAAAGATGTAACTGTCTAGCATTACTGTTCATGACTGTCATTACGAGCCAACAAGCTCAAATATGTTGCGACCCCGTGACATTCGCCGGATACATTTGAAGAAATCGCATGTGCGAGTGTCATTGGCAAGAGCAGGGATCGAACGGCTAGACTCTTAGACAGCGTTTGTAAGGACGCCAGGTCTAGGTCTGGACGTACGTCCTGAAAGCAGTCCAACTTGGCCCATGTAGATCTATGCAGACATGCTTTAACAACGGGTAGGCCCTTGCGCTTATAGTTCCTAAACAGAAATGTTTGAAGCAGTTATGCCGCTCTGTCCCACGTGCTCTGAGAGGTTGGCCCGCTCCCGGTACCCATCGTCACAGGTGACGCTACATGCGCCTGGCGCAAAAAAAAGGGAACAACAGCAATAACAACAAGAACAACGACAACGGCAAGAAGCAAACATGTCGCTCATACCCCAGCCAGACCACTGCGACCTCACTTCATCAGAGGTCTTGCTGAACTCTTCACATTCAATTCGCCAGGCTGCACAAACTCTTCCATGCTCGCTTCATGGCAAGGCATGGTGTCCACGAAGTCCATCCTCCTGACCAGGCTGCGTGACGCATCACGACGCCACTAGCTGGAAAAGAAAGGAGCATTTAGCGGTGATTTGGTGATTGTCCTGCTGCGCGAAGAGATCTCGCAATGTCTGTAATCGGCTGCGAACCTGACACATACTAATTGCAACTAAACTTGAATGCTGCTGTACGAGGCAAAGCTCATCGGCAGCCTTCGGTGCCGGGTTTTAACTCCTCCGCCGCACTTGTTGCAAGTGTCTGCCCAAGGGCTCCTGTTCATCAGTTGACAACAAAAACCCAATTTGGAATCTTGGCTAGCACTTTTTCTTTTCAAGATGGTGTTATAGTCTGCAACTCGCGTCCAGTCGGTCAGCGCATCTGGGCTGTGGCATTTCCCAGCCGCAGGGAGAACCTGAACACGAGGCGAACATCTAGTTAAACAAAGTGTCTCAAACTTGGGATCAGGCATCACACCCCACGTCCACGTTGACACCTCGAGTTCATGTCAACGTCCCGTCTCCACAACAAGCAGCGCCAATGCAAGCGGCAGAGACGCGGGGCAACACGAGGGATTCCGGAAAACTGTTTCCTTTAACAGGGCTTCATGATGCAGTCAACGGTGGCCGAGTGATGCCCAGAGTATTAACTCCAGCTTTCGGCCAAATCTTTTAAACCATTGATAGTATCATATCGTCCTTGCTGCCGGCATGCAGAATGAATTGTCCGAGACGCCGGCAACAGTACGCGATGTGCTCCACGGACCAAAAATGAAGATGAGACATCTGCGGCAGCACTTCCATCTCTATGGAAAGACATGAGGTATAGCAGGCTACGCTGCAAACTCGCGGAAGACGCACCTCGTCAGTGCTGCAATTGAAGGCCCCTGAGTGCTCAGCCTCTAGCAAGTTGTCAAGACATGGGTTCCTACCTGGGGCACCTCAGCACGCTATTGGTTTACGTTTGTGGGAGGATGGGGTACACAGACCCCTTTAGCTCATGTGAGCCCGATGCCTCCGACCTGAACTGCTCGCCCCTCCTCTCACTAGAAACGAGCAATGAACACATCACATTGTGCAGAAACCTTTACTGAAGGTTTCCTTCGCTGTCTGCCCTGGGTGCAGCAGAAAACACCCTCAAGTATCCTCAAGTCAAGTCCAGGCCTCACCAGTGCGTGTGGAAAATGGAGGAACTACCTCGCCGCGCAGGTTGCACACTCATCAGATCTCGTCACACTCCACCAAGCCTGGACGAAGAAAAACTAAGCACTTGGGCAGCCTGCGCATGGCTCATGTTGGTCTGCTGCCGGCGCATCGCTTCTGAACGATGATGCTGATGTGATGCCTGTGCAGGCAAAGAGCGCTAGGCGAATGCACCTGCAACCCCTCACAGGCCTGGCACTGTCAAGGTGAACTACAGGCAAGACCTGGCCTGTGGGTGGCTTGTGCTTGTGCGGGGCTGGTGCATCTTCGTTGCTGAGTGCTTCTGATGCGTCGCCTGCCAAAGAACAAGCTAGAGCATGGGAAAGAGCGGCGAGCTCTCGTGCCTTTCCGTCGGGGGGAACTGTTCCTGCTGAAAGTGAGGAATGATGGTCCCGACGTGCCTGGCATGAAGTTCCCAGAATCACCGGCTAAAATTCTCTTCTTCTCTGGGCTATGCAGAACCCGAAGGCCCTGCCAGGGCTGCGCACTGAGACCGCGCACGGTCAGGCCAAATTCTCCCTGCTTCTCTCTATCCCTGCCACCTCTGCCGTACCTTTTCGTAGGCTCCCTTGTGGCGAATGCTCCTCCAGTCTGGACCGAATGCGAAGGGAAGGACGGAACCAAGTCCCCGAGGAACAGGCAGGCCCATGTGGCTTCACCAGAAGGACAACTCCCGCAACCACCTGAAGAAATGACTCTCTGCTGACAAAGGCGGTCCTACAAATGGACCCAGCAGAACTGGATCAGGCCGAGGCAAGAAGAAGCAGCACGATGAAAATGGCTCCTATCACCTGGTGTGCATCAAGCTACGAAGGTTGGCACAGCTCTTGATTGCACGAATGTAGGGCGCGTGCGGACAACGCTCGGGCCCCATCACATGCTCCCTCCATGCTGCCAGTTCCCCATGCGTTCTTGTCAACGACCTGCAACGAACAAGACGAGATAATGCAACGCAACAGAGACCCCTCAGCTGTCAACACGCAACAGTCATGGCCAACCATATCGATGAGAATTAGTCACCTTGGCCTGGGTGCCAATGGCAATTCCGAGTGTCGGTGCCACATCGCCACCAAGCAGAGGAACTTTTGCCTGTGGGCATGTGGTTTCACTGAGAACTCTGACAAAGGCAATCAAAGAAGTTCGCCCACCCCCGGCAAAACCAGTTTAAAAAGGGTTTGTAGACAGTACTCGGCCCCCCTGATCGAGCAATGAAAATGGTTGCACGAATCTGTTGTGACAGACTAAACACTTTTCAGCAAAACGAAGACGAGTTTAAAAACGCGTATTTCGAATCATATTTCCTCAAGCAGCGAGACTTCTTTTGAAAGCCAAAAAGTTCTAAAAGCTGCAGATTCAGAGCACCCCGATAGACAAAAAAACGCAAACCTTCAAAAAACTCGAGCGATCTGTCAAAATCTCAGGGTCGGGGGTGCGGGGTCTGAGTTGACTGATGATGATCTGTATACTATGTCAGTTACTATGTAATTATATCAAACCGAGTAAATTCTCGGCCTCAGCTTCCTCCATGGCACGGTCGCTGTGGGTTGGCTTGGACGTCTCACGAGTGTCCTTTTCTTGCAAAAATGCATACTGACGTACCAATGCCTACAAGGTGAAGATGTGTCAAACGCGGCGGCAAGGTTAGCTTTGCCTCCGCAAGTTTTGGCGCAGATCCAGAGTGGCTGCCCTTGAAACAGGGGCGTGTTGCACACACTGGTCTCAACATCTTCCCACCACATCTTGTTCCAACACTTGTACGGGTCCAAATGGGCGGCCTGTGCGGAATTTGCACTCGGCTTCACCTTGGAACTCATTCAAACGGGCACCGGTTGCTCAACCACCCCCAGCGCCGCGGAATGCTGCAGACTCAACAATGTCAAGCAAGGTTTCTGGTGACAGGAGATGGGCAAGAGCTCCGCACAAACTCTTAGAGCTATGCAGCCCCGACACCAGCGAAGACAGCAACGCTCCAGCTTTGGATGATGCGTTAAGCTGCGTCCTCGGTGCGCAGCTGTTGGAAACATGCAAAGCTACTGTGTTCTGAGAAGTCGGGCGCACTGGATACAACGGTTTTCTGGTCCGTCGCTTTCGGCCTCACACGCCACTGGAGAACAAGCTTGGACCGCTTCTTGGGTCCCATGCCCCACCTGGCTGCAGCTGGCGCAACAGCTCCTGCAAATGGACCCCCGGAACACTTGAGAAGCTGCGCTTATGTTATGAAGATCTTGAGACAAGCATGCAGGCCCTGCAGGCCTTGCCTTCCTTTCCCGCCCCTCCCGGCTCTCCCTGGCTTCTGGCTCCTCCTCCTCCGCTGGGATTTGGAGCTTGGCCACCGCCCTTCGGACCTCATACAGCTCTTGCAGATCGGCAACAGTGCTGCTTGGAAGATTCTTGACTCGTTGACCAGGGCAAGTAAGCAAGGCTCAGATTTAGACCTTTTGCACCACCTTGCTTACCTGATGGAGTTCCGCAAGATACAGGAAGGCTCACACCGGACGCGCTCAAGACATGAGAGTTCAAGCCCGGCACTCATTAAGGACTGCAGTGCGCTCCCAGCACTGGAGGTCATATTCGTCCCCCTCACACAAGGCTCTCTCCTCTCTCTTCTCTCTCTCTCTCTCTCGCTCTCGCCCGCTTTCGGACTCCAAAAACGGATGTTAACTCTTAGGATCACACATGGACAGCCGAGTTTGCTGGTCATCCGCAACTCCTTGCGATACAAGGGTCGAGCGCGCGAGCAGGAAACAGCTTTCTCAGGGCCGGGCGTGGCGCCATGGCACTCTTCACCTGCTCACCCTGAAGCACTTCGCTCTCTTTGCTTTGATCTTGAGGTTGTGTCAACTTCGCTCTGCAGCTTTGCACCTGACGTGGCAGAGATCGTCCGCGCGGCTCAGCTGTTTGCCATCTGTGACGCTTCCTACGAAATGACTGAGCTGCAGTTCGACGCTGCGTGAGGTTTGCATAAAGATGCGCCGTGATGTCGCCTGTATCTGATGTGTCATGCTTATAGACTTAGAGCCTGTTGATTGGGAGATGATGGCCGCGGGGAGCGTGAGAAAAAAGACATCACTGCGCCACTGCACAAGTAAAAAACCTGTTGGGCAAAGCATGCAGGGTGACACCAACAGCCATGTTGCCAGTGCCCCCACTGAGGCCGCAGATGTAAGCGCCAACGCTTCTCCCAAGGCCTAAGTCTCGCTCCGACTGCTTGCTTACTTGCATGCACAAGCAAAGGCTGTGTAAAGCAGCCGAAGGCGCTAAAGGCTCTGCCGCTGCTTGCAATGGAAGAGAGAAATGCTTTCGTGCTATTCGGCGTCCTCTGGGAAGCGCGTTGCCACAGGCCATTGACGAATCTTATTGAACCGAAGCGCAAAGCCAGCATAGCAAGTGCACTACAGGTCCACACCTGACCAACCAATGCCAGTTCTGCGGCATGTGGCAGTAGACGAAGGGTGTCTGACCACACGGAGCCAAGCCTGGCAAATACCCCAACTCTCTCTCACTAGCCCAGCGTGAAAGTCCACTAACTCCTGCAAACTAGCTATATCAAGCGGATGTCTTCCTACATGAACAACGCACGCGGTTGCTTTCCTCAAGCCAGTTCACAATTGCTTCGTGGAAATCCAACATTCCTTCTGCGAAGACCATGGCATGGTAGCCTGGCATGCCTGGCCCTGAGATCTCATTTGGAAGCCGGCCGCAGCCCATCTCCAAAAATGTTCATGTTTCACGCTTGGATGCTCCAAGACTTTCGCTCGCGTGTGTTCATGCCAGCTTTCTGGAATTCAACTCTCGCCGTGCAGCGAAGGCATCCTTCTGGATCTTTTTTTTTCAAAATATCTACCAACAGGCAGCGACTAACACGCTTCTTCCTTGGAGGCTTCGAGGCTCAGGACAGGCGAAAGCCTGCCCGCTGACGCACACCCGGCCAGCAGCCCCTACAAGAAATGCCTTGACAAAGTCGCCATGTCCGCTCAACTGAATTGTCATTATCCTTCACATGCTTCGTGTAGAGTGGCAACTACCTTCTTTGCAAAAAACTGCAAGACAGTATCATTGTCATCTCTGAATCTGCAGCAGCACGGCATGCATGCAGGCAATCGGTTCCCTGGCGGGGAAGCAAACATGCTCAAGCTTCGGCAGTGCTCTGTGTGGGACAGTATCACAACTGCCAAAACTCTCAACCAGCGTGCAGTACAGATAGGACTGTGTAAGTGTAGAGATCATCAATCAAAGTGTGGCTCAAGCGGAATGTCGAGCAATGTCAGGCAGTTCTGCAGCTCCTCACTCATAGTGCAGTCTGTCCTAATCAGGTAAGACAGGCTTGCAAAGATGTCGCGGAGCTATGGGTGAGCGTTCAAACGCTCACAAGCAGCCCAAGCTCAGAGATGCGGGAGCCAAGCTCACAGCAGCATGCGCAACAACACCGACCGACACGCTACCGCCCGGCAAGACAAGTCCAAGTCAAGTCAACAAGTGCCTGATCTTACGAGTTACAGAATGTTACAGGTCGACCTTCATTCGCGCCTTAAGCAGATGACAGAGAGAACAAACTGACTAGCTCTCGGACATTGAGCAAAGAGAGGAAGAAGCCTCGTCGTTGAATCGCCGCAGCGCATTTCAAGTGCCTCATGTTGTTTGAACTAAGCGGCACTCGGCGCACCACCTTTGCAGATTGTCACACGTGGCATTTGGTGCGATCTCAAGACGATATGCCTGCCGTGTCATGAATGCATTTGCGCGACTGGTATGTCTTCAGTTGCCCGGATGGTTGTGTAAGCGGCATCAAGAGTGTCCAGGGATCCGAATATTTTTACATAACTTCAGTAAGGGGATGGTTTCCGGAGCATGGAATCGGTTTTAAGTTATATATTCAATAGGAGGAGGGTGTCCCGAGCTCGGAATCTGTTTTAGATTAAGTTAATTCAGTAGGAGGAGGCTCGGAATCTCTCTTAAATCAACTTCAATGGGAGGTGTGGTGCGGAGCTCAGTAGCTGCTTTCAGAGGAAAAGCTTTTGCTTTCTGGAATCCCTAGGGCCCGAAAATTTCGGATACTTGAGACCCCTCAAAACATTCATATTATTGAGGACCCAAGCAGCTGCTGAACTACCCCCTTGCAAAAATGATTGCCTGGCCTCCTCTTAAACCTGAAATGCTGAAGCTCAAGATTCTTGAGGCAAACATTGACATGTAATATTCTAGTAAGAGCAGCTCGCATGAGAAAAGCAAACTTGTTTTCAGTCCACCTAATTACTTTCAGATAAAGGTAATTTAGGCCGCGCAACTTCGCACAATTGAGGGCCCCCACACGAATCAGGGGTGCCGAAAAATTTTGGCGAAACTTTGCACAATTAAACGCCCCCACACTAATCGGGACCAAACATGTAGTCTTAATGACTTGAATAGGAGAGGAGGAGTGTGGGGGAGGGGGCAAGAGGGGCAATTGGCAATAGAAGGTTGGGGGAAGCCTTAATCTGCATAATTTGAACGCCACGCTGAGGAGAAAAGTAGGGGGAGTGGACTGACTAGGTGGAGGAGGTGGGCAAGTTGGAAGGCGGGGAATGTGCATGCTTGTGTGGGGATTCCACCAGGGTTACACGAAAGAGCAGAAGGTCGGCGAATTTGCCTTCCGGCAACTCGGAGGGTAAATGTTCTGCCCTTAACTCCTGCGGCCTGAGGCCACCGCGAATTTAAGATGAGAATCTAGAAGCTTACATGGGGAAATCCTACATCCCTTGATCCGGTTTTTGGGTTTCTGCCAGAAACAGGCCAGGGAATCCAGTTTTTCAACCTAAATCCTGCTACAACCGCCCCTTTGACGACCGTATCCCTAGCGTACCTCCTCATCGCGCCTCCCCTTCTTTGAAACCTCGCTAGAACTACACCTCTAGCGTACCCCTAGCGTACCCTCCGCCTCCCCCCCTTTGAAACCGCGCTAGAACCGCCCCTTGACGACCGCATCCAAAGCGTATACCCCTATACCCTCCTCATCGCGCCTTCCCCCCCTTTGGATTCTGCTGGAACCGCCCTTGACAACCGTACACCTAGCGTAGCCCCTGCTTTGAAACCCGCTAGAACCGCCTTGACGACCGTATCCCTAGCGTACCACTAGCGTACCCCTAGTGTACCCTCCTCATCACGCCTCCCCCCCTTTAAAACCCCGCTTGAACCGCCCCCTTGACGACCGCATCCCTAGCATACCCATAGCCTACCCTCCTCATAGTGCCTCCCCTGCTTTGAAACCCCGCTTGAACCGCCCTCTTCACGGCCCTAGCGTACCCTCCTCATCGTGCCTCCCCTGCTTTATATACATATATGTATTGCACATTATGTACACCAACATCCTGGGCGCAAAGGCCTAAACCAAGGGCCCATTCTCAAGACACTTGACAATGCCTCGCGCAGCCTTTTCATTTTCAAAAAGATGCAAAACCCACATTGATACATACTTTTTTGTGACGGATGGTGCAGAAAAAACAGCTAGTGTTGGACAAAGCTTCAAACCTTGTAGCAGATTCAACGAAAGTGATGTGATTCTTTGGTTTTCCGCGAACAGGCAAGCATTCCCCACAGATCATTTTGACCATCAAGGAATGCCAAGCTTCTTTCCACATGACCACTCACATATTTCGTTGAATGCACGAGAACATCGAGAACATCCTTTGTTGACAAAGCATTTTTGGCTTTCCCAAAAAGCCACTGACTGAACAAATATCAGCGCATTTTGGGGACCACGCTTAGCTTGCTTTGTGTTTGGACCGGATTGCGCTGTTTGCTGTTCTGGACTTAACTGAGCCTGTCTCGTGTTCGACATTTCCTAGTGGGCATGGGGTTTACACTTCAGTGGAATTCAGTAAGCTTCGCGCCAAGTTCTTTTCCTTCAAAATGAAACCCCTACTTGCTCTTCGCTGAATTCCACTGGAAGGCTTGTTAGTGACGACAAACGGCTGATGTATCTCCACCGGTTTCCATTGTTTCCCAGTGAGGCCCTGATGCTCACATATAGGTCAAGATAGTGTCTGCTCTTGAGTTTAGTTCGTTTCAAGTGGATGCCGTTCTAAACCCCCGCCTGTTGTAGAAAGACTGAGGGCAGCGTTAAGGTTTTGCAATGGGCTGCAAAAGAATATGTGCGCGCAAGCTCGCGGCGGGCGGGCGCAAGAACACGTGCACGGTGATCATGCCCACATGTATTATACACTTGAGAGCCACGGGCTGGGACGAAAGCTCAATAATGGAAAGGAGTGGCGAGACGGGACGTGAACAGGCAGACAAACAGACCACATACAACCAGAAGAGCACGCAGCCCAATCCTCACTGCCCATGAAAGAACTGCAACCCTCCTACCGAAATCCTCTTTAAAAAACACTCTCAAAGATCCCCCCAAGGCCCGAGACCGCCCAAGATCCCTCCAAAATCATTCCCAGACCCCCCAAGATCCCCCCAAGAGCCAATCCCCCCAAGATCACCCCAAGATAACCCCCAAGAATCTAGCCCAAAAAGGCCCTCGACGGCAACGCCGGAAAAGGCAGCCTGTGGTGCAGGGCAGCTGAAAAAAAAAGCAGACAAAATTGCCTCCCCCCCTCCGGAGGAAAATAATCCCTATTACAACCAGAAGCCCTATCCACAAGTCCGCGCATGTTGCTGTCTTGCGCGCCCAGACTGAATCACATTGTAGCAATTCCTGCATGCAATCCACGAAGCAGCTCCCCACCTGCAATGGGTACATTGGCCTTTGCATATATGCATACACACCAAGGAACTATCATGTTTCTTGCGAGTCCCACACGGAGTACCACGGAGGTGCCCCTTTGTTCATGGAAGCTCCCAAAGTGTCTTCAATGAGGGACACTTCCAGGTGGATAGCCCTTAGATAAGTTTCCCTACTTGGGGTTTCAAGGTGTAGCGGCCCCTGTGCCTCTTGCAGGTGCAAATGACACTTCAATCTTGATGTAATCTCGGCACCGCGATCTTCACAAACCTTTCGAGTTAAACATTCACCACACAGGAACTACGTGTTGGGCTTTTATTGACATCTGCTTGCATGTTGACTTCAGAGGGTCATCTCAAGCTTCAAGGACATACCAATTCCTAAACATGCATAGCTGGTGGGCATGTCGTAGTCATTGTGTATTTGATGAATCGTGCGGGTAACCTCCCATTTGTTTGCTCGGGCCGCTTATTGCAGCTGGAGGCATTCAAACCTTACAAATATCGACACTGAACGCAGGAAGTTCCCATACCTTTGTTGCAACATCCCTACCATCCCTACCGTCAGAACTGTGTTCGCCTCTCTGCGGCATGATTCAATCCAGGAGTTGAATTCGTCACACTCTGCTTGCAAGTCGCAGTATCCCGACAGTACTTCTACAAGTACAAGCACAAGCAGGCCAGACAGGCTGTCTCCGGTAAAGCCTTGCTTCTAAAACCTCAGCGCTATCTGACAGGTTGTCTTGCCAGATTCTGGTCATCTGGGGGGTGCGCTGTTGACAGCGGAAACCGCAAGTGTAGACAGCAAACAGCATCGCCTCCCCAAGCTGACCCCGGCCAGGCAAGACTTTTGATTTCATGTACCGTAGATGTCAAATGGTATATTGCCAATTGACTTGATGCTCTAAGCTCTAAGCCTAGAATGCTTTGCCCGACAAGCCTGCACAACTGCGTGCGGTGTCGGGGCTCAGTCATAGCTGGCTGCTCCATGGCGCCAAGCGACTCGAAAGTCGTGGGTGGGGGGCGGGGGGGCTGAGAAAGTCGGCGGGCAGGTTACCGTGGGCATGTCCTGGATCTTGACGCATGCTTCTTGACATAAACTGCTTCATTCATCAGCTTGAGGAACAGCCTTTGCTACAAAAAATAATTCAGACCTCCAGATCGCTGGCCTGTCCACAGTTTTGGTCTCCACCAAAAAAAAACGAACCTGAATTACATCAACACCTCACCTCCTTTTGTGCTCGGGTCAAGTGAGCTCAAAAGGTTCGGAAATAAGCTTGATGCCTCACGCTGACTTTGGCAGCTGAGGCATCTAGCAAAGCTGGCTGTTGTTCGGGACTCATTCTAGGCAGATTGCTGCCAGAAGCATCCTTCCGGACGAGTTCCGAACCTTGCAGCCTTAACAGGAACTTCAAAAGCCTCCTCAGGCTAGCAGTAGGTCAGCCAAATGCTCAATGCATGCTCTCGACATCTGGTGCCTCAAGCTAGATAATATCAGGATACATCTGGCCCAATATTCTCAGATGCCACGACTCCTTGCAAACGTGGCTCTCTTTTGCGAACTGCTCGGATCTCTTCCCGATCAGGAAAACATGCCTTGGAACTTCAGCTCTCGCTGCAGGCAGAGCTGGAACAATTCATGGCTATGGCTGCGATCTTATTGCACACACACACACACATACCCACAGCAGAAAGCTGGCTTGCTTGCAGCTCGCAGGTTTCGCGGAATGGGTCGATGGTGGGCGTTGGCGACAACGCGTCGCCACGGCACCGACAGCAGTCCGTCATAGACTTCCTCAGCAGCTGAGGACCGTGCACGTGAAACCAGAGACCCAAAACCGTACGACAGCTCAAGCATGCCCAGCCACTGCCGGATACTTGCACTTCAAGTCCTGCAGCGTACGCACACTTACAGGCTTGCGGCCCGCAGAAAGAAGTGCGTCGCTACAGGGCTTCAGTCCTGTGACAGCTCCCAAGATAGCTTGGAGCGTGAACGGGCTTTTGGACTGTCGGACGGCGAAGAGTCCGGAGATAAATGTGCCGAACTCTGAGATCTCCTACCGTCTACATTCTCTCGCAATGCAAGGCTGCAACCTGGGCGTCTATAGGCTGGCCGGCTGGCCGTTTAGCAACTCGGCCTGGCTGAGGATGGAAGGGCAATGCAAAAAAGACCAAGAAACGCTGCAAGGAGGCGCCATAGACCGCGTGCCAGCAGCTGCATGAGCGCAAAGAAAAAGGCAGGCAGCTTCAACAGACCAGTAGCAGCCTCCCGTGTTGGCATTTCTGTTGTATCAGGCTAGGATGGCTTTGGGGGAGGCCAGGAGCCAACTTGTCTGAGGCAGCCAAAATCGCTCATACTAGGCAAGTTTTCCACTCCCCCTAAAACATGCCAGGTGTTTCTCTCCCGTTTCTGATTAGTTTGGAGGCTTGGCCTGGGGTTCGGGTTGATTGCTGGTGGGCTCGCAGGTTCCCCCACGTCCTGGAGCAGGTCCCACCACGGCCTTTTAAGCCTTGTTCCCCTAACTGAAGCCCTCCCCCCCACCAGCCGAGGCACCCGTGCCAGCCATTAATTCACTGCCTGAACAGCGTGCACAAAAAAACAATGCTGGGCACAGTGGAATCCATTACCTATCCCGCCTTTCCCTGCTGGCCGATTGTTTTGCAGGTGGGCCAGGTGTCGTCAAAGATGAGCTGCCAAAAGGACTCGTGCAAGGAGCCGTGGCTGTCCATAAGAAGATACGGGTCGATCAATCCCGAGGCAGGTGGGATTAGTGGATCACCGAAAGCCAGGCTCACACACGTCCGATGATCGAATCGGCCAAGCGCAGTCATATGTTCGCTCTCTGGCTGACTCAGTTCTACTAGGAAGGGTGTTTGCAAGCCGAGAGTATCCTGGATGGCAAGGTGTACAAGCTGATTGCTGATCGGCTGGGAGAGCCAACAAAGATTCCTCCAGGAGTGCAAGGGATGCAGCCAACTCGACCGGATTCCCAGGTGCGGAGATGACAGGGAGATGTAATGACCCAGCTGCAGCTTTTCGCACTCCTCAAGTACTCTAAGAAGAGCTCCCCGAATAATCAATCCACCCATTGAATGCCCAATGCAGTGCAGCATTACGTGAGATCCAGTTGCCTCGTTCATCTTTACAGCTTCGATGATCTCTTCAGCGGCTATTGATGACAATTCACGCAAGTCGCTGCCTAGAAATCGACAACCGCGAGAGATTTTCTGCAAAGGCCACAATATCCAGTCCGGGTGCTTGTGCTTCAGCACTTCCAGCCACGTCTGCCAGTCCGCACATGTGCCTCCCATCCCATGCACCATAACACATATGTGCAGTGGATCACCTTCATGGCAGTGAGCGTCACAGGGCATGGCATACGGTGCGCCTCACCAGCTAAATTGAATGCTTAGAACCTTAAAAAAAGCAAGTTTGAGGTACCTGGCAGTTCCTGTGGTCATGATACGCTGATGATACGAGACAGCAAGAGCTTCACAGAGTCTTGCAGTGCTTCTTTTTCAGCTGCATGATACAAACGAAGGCTGCAGAGAATCAGCTCGTCCCTCAGAGGCAGGACCAAAATTGGTGTGTCATCACCCTCTCCCAAGTCTTTTGAGGCACCGGCACTGCGTGGGCTGAGCTGATGCTGTTAGCGGCGCATGGCAAAGCGCGTTTGGGGCGCGCCGGCGAAATTCATTGGCTGCGTCATCATTGGCCTGGCACGTCTGTCTCTGAATCAGATGCCAAAGCAAACCACGCCAAAACACATGCCACAGCTGACGCTCTTGCACCGGACATCTGAGGCATCTGGGGTCGCGTCGCCATGCCTGCACCCGCAAACACCACAGTCTCCAGCATCCTAGCTCAGGCACTTCCATGATTGCATGCAACACCAAGACCTCTGCCTGCACTTGCCGGCCACTGCGGCTGTGTTGGCATCGGCATGCGCTGCATCCTCATGTTGCGTGAAACGTCACAGGGGCACGGAGATCTAGCACGATGCCTTGCCATTTCGCAGGTTGAGGTCCACAGGATTTTTTGCAAGTAGGCTGCGTTGACAATTGAAACATGGACCTGCTGTCATTTGGTAAGCCATCGCCCGTTGAATGCAGGCGCAAAACGTCGATTGTCTGAACAACTTCCTTGCATGTCCCTGCAACATATGAAGGGGAGTGGATAAGGCCACTGCTGCGTCTGCATCGGCTGTTCGGCCGGCCTTGATACCCACAACTGAACTCTACTTGCGTCGGCAGTGGAACACTGCGTCATGGCCTGTACAACGGCTGTCGGTCCTGAGCTCAAGAAGTCTTCACATGCTCCCACTTGTATCCCATCGCATCTGTCGTTGGCCTCATCTGTCTCTTCGCTGCGGGTATAGACCTCCTTTGACATCACTATGTGCACTTCTTGCAGCTTTGCGCAGGCGTCACCATTGCATTTGTGGCCTTGCTGCGAGCACGACCTTTAGTGCGCACCTTGGAGCTGCAAGCGGTTGATATTCGATCAGACTCTCTCTTGCCGACTGAGCTCTCCCACGCCACCCGAGCACAGCAAACAAATCAAGGCCATCAAGCCTCAGCTACATCCAAGTTCTTACCAAAACCCTTGTTGATTAAACTACCCATGCAATGATGGTGTCACGCGAAGATGAAAGCTTACCAAACAGAAAATGCAGGTTGGCGGAGCAAGAGAAATATTTCGTGCTGGCTGTACCAGGAATGTGCCTGTTCGACGCTGGCCCTTCAACAAAGCCGACGCAAGCGTAACGCCTGGTGGAAGTCCATGCCACAAGACCGTCCAAGCCACCAAAATACACCCCAAAACCACCCCCGCGGTCAGCATCATAATCGGAAAGCGTCCATGCTCCAAACTTGCGCCCTGCCGACAGGCTAAGTTCAGATTCGAACGTTACTTAATCGCTCCAATCCTAGGCTGGCACTCAGCTAGCACTCTCTCGAATTGTTTCTTCGCGTCGCTCGGGCTGTGGCTTGGTCAAAATTCGGTCTCCGAGCGGACGGGGTTTCGTTTTTTTTTCCTCCAAACAGCGCATTTCAAGCCAGGGTGGGTGAGATCAATCTGCCGAACTCACGGCCTTTACCTTGAGAGGAAGGTAAAAGGCAAGCAATTTCAGTCATTTGCACACTCACAACTCTACAAACAAAGAGCTTAGGCAGTCGAAGTACGTAGCGTTTTACGAACGCTTGTCACTAGTAAGGCGAACTTATTTGGTCCAACCCTTTAGGCTGGCGCTCACTCGAATCTTTTATTCACCTCGCTCTGGCTGTGGTTTGGTCAAAATTCGGTCTCCAAGCGGACGAGTTCTCGGCGCGTTTCAAGCCATCTCCACCTCCGTGCGCGGACAAGTTGTCTGCGACCTCGCCGAACGCACTGATGAGCACATCCCGGTCGAAGGCGTCTACTGCGCGAAGCCAGTCGTAGAAAGGGTTGAAGTCGAACTGTGTTTCTTTGAAGCCGTGGCTGTCTGCGAACGTTCCATCATCTCTGGACACTCCGTCAAAGCTGTTCTCCTTCGAGGGCATTCTGTGAAATAAAAAAAAAGCGAGCGTGTGTCGATCCGTGACCAAAAACATGCCAATACTTTCGTGAACTGCTCGTCCTTGGAATGGCTTTTGCGTAGAGCATGCTCTGCTGCGGCGTTGTCGTGAAAACATATCAAGTGCGTGCGAACTTGAGGTGCTATACAGGCTATGGCCAGAACTTGAGCTAACATTTCCAGCCAAAACATGTAAGCTTTGAAGGTTGATGAAGGTTGCGAGGCCAGCTAACACTTTGTGTGGCGCCCTGGACCTGAAGCTAACTCGGGGGCCGCATGGCGAACTGATAAGGCCCCGCCATCTGTTGTCGCTTGCTTGGAGGAGCGGAAGTGGGAGTGCATCTGTGAGCCACTGATTTGCCGGCCTTCGTGTACTCATCTGCGTAGAGCACGCACAGGCAGTCTGGGCTACGTTGCAAGGGAATTTGCACGGGTTTGAGGTGAGCTAGAACAACCTCAGGTAAGCAACGAGGGAACATCTTAGAGGCTTGCTCAACCCTTGCGGGGAAAGAGGCGAGGCTGCCGGACGAACGGGGGTCTAAGAAGGAAGGCTTGCCTACCGCCCCGAACATCCAAGTCGTTGCAAAGCTCAACTTTCAAGCTATATAGCTTGGCTGCTTGAATCGGGGACAGGCGATCCTCCTGCACAGCCTGTGTACTGCTCTGTGTGATTTTGGTCACCCTTGCATGGGGAGGCTCGTATCAAGTTCTTCTTAATATGCCAGTCGACTCCGAGGAGAATGATTTGCGAGGCCGGGGGCTCAGCTTTTAGCTCCCTCATTTTATATCCCATTGACTTGTGGACCTCCGGGATAAACCCTGGCAATCCTCGTCTGGGGTCTCCTCCGCTTCGCAACCGAACAAGGATTGTGGCCTCTGTGCTACACCGCTAGTTGAGTGACGTCCTTCTTGACGTCGACCGCGATCAGCTTGACCCCGACCGACAACGGCTCCAAGATTGGCGATCTTGTCCCGCTGGGCCGCCGGGCGAAAATATGGCACACGACGCCTGACGACTGTACGCCCTTGTCCTGGAGAAAGGAGAGCACCTCGAGGGCGCAGTCGGACGCCAACTTGGCCAAACGGGGCAGCGAAGGTGGAGGTGGAGGTGCTGGCGGAGACGTCGACGCAGTACCTGTCACTGTCACCTGCTAAATCTCGCGGGTCCCTGAAAGGAACTTGCTTTCTGAATGGAACTATATTTTTGCAGGCTGGCGGGCCACGGAAACCCAAACCAAGAACAAGACATGTGATTCTTGGCGGCGGTCGTCTTGTTTCCTCTGGGCTGTCGAAGGTGCTCGGGCGCTTGCAATGCTCTGTGCGCGGCGGACATCTGGTCTGCGAACGATGGGCGGCCTTGTCGAGCTCGAGCTCGAGTTTGGGCTCCGCAGGTCCCGTGCCTCTCGTGATTGAACGTGTATAGCGCGGGCCAGGTCCAGGTCTTGGGTCCGAGCGAAGCCTGCCTGGATCTGGATGCTCTTTTTTGGCCACGGAGAAGTACTGGGCCTCCAAACTAACGGTATCTCACCGCCCCCACTCTATTGATAAGGGTGACTGTTACCGGCAGCGGAGGTAGCTGTCGAGGCGCCCACATCTTCTGCCAGGTGAGCCACCGCGATTCTGGTCGCGAGGTCCGCGTAAACCTGTGAGTCCAAGGTCTGAGCAAAGTCAGCAAAAAGTGGGTTGCGACGTGTCACCTTGCAGGCCGATTCTCTCCAAAGATCCTCTAGCGCAAGGATGGACTCAGTCTGTCCATTGCCACGTCTCCCACTACTTTTCAAACTGTTGTTGTCTAGCTCCCTCGCAGACTTGATTCCTGCTCTCTGCAGGGCTGGGAGAAACTCCGAACATTTGGCACCCGAAAGTACTTCTTCTAGGCTCCCGAAGCAGCGAACGCTCCAGGTGTGGCATCTTTGCTGCTTTGAGCCGACCCGAAGGCTGCTACCGAGCCTAGCAGGAACCACTAAAACACTTGCTCGAACCGTCTGGCGTACGCCAGAGACCCTCGTGGGGGCCGGAGGCGATGTCGCCACCTGCGCACTCGCCTTACCCAGAGACCGCCTTATTGAAAAGGTTCACTAAAGTTCGTATATTTCAATAATGGAGACACAAACCAATAATTTCTGGAATCTTATTGGTTTGTGGGTGGAAGGGTTTTATTGGTTTGCGGAAGACCAAAATTCATTCATTCCTTGGCAAACCAATAAGCCTAAACCAATAAAATCTTATTGGTTTATGGTGGTATGGACATATCTTAAGAAGTCCCCTGGCAGAGCCCTTGTTCAGGG